ACCATGTGTGATCCCTCCTCAGACACGCCCCTGTGTGATCCCTCCTCAGACACGCCCCTGTGTGATCCCACCTCAGACACGCCCCTGTGTGATCCCTCCTCAGACACGCCCCTGTGTGATCCCTCCTCAGACACGCCCCTGTGTGATCCCTCCTCAGACACGCCCCTGTGTGATCCCTCCTCAGACACGCCCCTGTGTGATCCCTCCTCAGATGTAAGCATGTGCCCACCTCAGAGGCACCCAACCACAGACTGTGGGCACGGGCTGCATTATAACCACTGAATTCCCTTCTCAGGTATGTCCGGGACCTGACCAGCAGCAAGGAGGGATGGGTGCCAGCCAGCAGTCTGTCCACCCTCCTGGGCAAATCCAGCTCAGCTCAGTGTCTGAGCAGCTCAGGTAAGACCCAATGTGCGCGCCAGCTGTGCCCTGAGCCTGCCAAGATCCTCAGCCCAGAGCCCGTTTAAAAGCAGAGAGGTTTCTAGGTGTGCAGAGGAAAGGGCCAGAGCCGAAGTCTGTCTCCACTGGTTTCCCGCAGACTCCAGTCCAGGGTCAGCCGTGCTGAGCAACTCCTCCAGCTGCAGCGAGGGCTACCCCACTCCCTTCTCCGAGCTCCAGGGATAGTGGCCAGGCCTCTGTGGCAGGCGCTGGAGGCCGCCGTGCAGTAGACCAGCATGCAAATCTCTCAGTTTTCTTTTGCTTGGGCTTGCTTAGTATGGGAGGGGATGGTGCGCCAAGACATCCGGAAGCAGGAGGACCCTGTCCACCGTGGGCTTCAGAGGACACGGGGGCCCTGGCACCAGGACGGCACTGCATGAGCATAACCCAGGAGACGATGGTCCACCACCAAAGCTACTTTAAAAACTCCGGAGTGGACAGAGGCGGGGCTACGGGTCAGGAGACCCCTGCGCAGAAAGCTGGGAGATGCCCTTTCTCATACGTGGGCAGCCAACAGACCCTGCTGTGCAGCCTCTCCAAGGTGTCCTGACCTCTCTGGTGCTTTCTGTGGGACCATCATCCTGAGGAAGGCACTTCTAACAGGAGTGGACAGTTTTCTACCAACAGCCCAGGAGGGGATCAAGGGACTCTTGTCTTTTATAAGTTTTTGATTTTTTTTAAAGCAGGGATTAATCCCATGGCCATTTTTTTGTGGTACACTGGCCTCAAATCTTTACCAAGAATCACTGTGTTTACATGAAATGACAATTTGATACTGTATTTGATATAAAACTATTTTTTGTTACTGGGGTTTACATCGAAGCACGTTGTTTATATAACTGAATGGTTTCTGGGGCACTCTCACCGAGACCTGGCACTTCCTGGAACACATCCATCCCAGGTGAAGGAAGACCTGGTAAGTCAGGGGCGTCGCCTCCACCAGAAGCAGTCAGAAATCACCGAGAGTCTCACATCTGCATAGGTTTTGTTTCCACGAAAAATGTAAAGTATAATTTAAAATATTAACCTTCTTTTCTACAGTAAAAAGGAGACTCTCTGTTTTTTTAAAAGAATATCATTAAATTAGGATATTTTTATTATTTTTAAAGAAAATGTAAAAATCCATGCTGTCAGCCATCCCCCAGCAACACAGGCACCGGCTGCCTGTCCACGTCAGGGCAGGCCCCGCCTCCCCTCCCCTCGCCTCGCCCATGGGGGGAACCTACAGCCTTCATTCAAGTCACGGCAGAACTGCCACGAGAACTGTTATCCCCCCCTTTTGTGTGTGTCTGAGAAACAAATTCTGTTCCTTGGAAACGTTCTGTGCCTAGTAGGGCGATATTTTTATATGTATGTATGTATATATGTTCACGTGTGTATATATGGTCTGGGTGTAAAGGGTGTATTTATGCTCTCATGCTGCTGAACATTTGTCACTTTACGGTCCCTCCCTGTCTCCTCACCCTGCTGCCATGGGAGGCCACCGAGGCTCGCTCACCACTGTTTGTCCAGGTAAAATCCCTCCTCCCCGGTCCTGTGGCTTGCAGAGCCATAACTGGCCACATCTTCAGAGAATGGTAATAAAATAAAAAACAGTGCAAAGATTCTGCGCATTTCTGGTGCGTGTGTTATGTGGGAATAAGCGTGGGATGTAGTCTGCCCTGCCTGTTCAAAACACGCCACCCTCTTTTACGATCTCACCCTTGTAAAGACGCTTTAAAGTGTCACGTCTTGCCCGGCGTGGTGATGCGCGCCTTTAATGGCGACACTGCAGAGGCAGAGGCGGGCGGGCCCCTGTGAGTTTGAGGCCAGCCTGGTCTACATAGAGAGTTCCAGGCTAGTCAGAGCTGCATACACAATGAGACCCTGTCTCAAAACACGAAGAAATGTTATGCTTCAGTCATGGAGGCGTTTACTTCCTACTGCTGATACAGATGAACATTTAAAGTCAGAAGTCTTTATTGTATGCATGGAGATTAGATGAAGGCCAGCAACTCCCGCTGTCCGCCATATTGGTAAAGGCAGTGGGGTCCCAGCACTGTGTACTTAGTGATGGGCGAGGATAAGAAAGAGGCAGGTGGGATGGAGAGGGTGTGCAGTCACCAAGCACATCATGATGGCGTGTGACACCTTATCAGACAGCGTTGGCGTGGAAATAGTACCAGGATGTACTTGTGAAAAATGTGAGGGGGACCGGAGGCGTGCAGCAGAGACATTACAGAGGAATAACAACACACTCCCAGCTCCTCCCTGAAGGGTTAGACAGTGAAGGAAGTTCATTGGTCTGTGAGAAAGGGGGGTGGACAAATGGGGAAAGAATAGCGAGCAGAAAACACGAACACGTGATGGAGAGATGGATCCAGACATGGCTGGCTCACGGCGTCACTATTGTCCTAAGGCGGCACCAAGTAGGCCAGGCAGATCACTGCCGAAGGAGAAAGCAATGACTGGAAGTGAAAGGAAGGCAAAAGATTAGCCCAAATAAACACAAAAGAAATCTGGCGTATTAATGCTAGTAACAAAAGAAATGAAGTTTAGGGCAGTTAGAGTTACTGTCATCAAACAGGAGATAGTACCGCTCCCAGCACACACAAAACAATGGAGTAGACAGTTTGCAATGGGTATTTTGAAGTCTGGCCATTACTCTAATGACACTGGAACTCTGCTCCCTAGAGCTAAATAGATAGCTACTATCAGCACACAGGGGCTGCAGCTGAAGTATGACTGGGGTTGTACCACACGTAATCTAAAAAGACAGAATTATTGAGCTACTCACGTAAGACAACAAATATAATCAGTGAAACTCAAAGTGTAAAGAAAAAATCCTACCTCGAAGGTAGAAAATAAAAACAAATAAAAATAAAAACTTTGATTATTGGAAAACAGAAAAACTATAATTTATAGAAAAACTAGTTAGGAGATAGCATGGCAGCATGTCTGCTTAACAAAACAACAATGGTATCACACACACATAAACATCCCATAGGGCCAGTAACCTACACACACACACACACACACACACACACACACACACACACACACACACACACACACAGGCCATAGGGCCAATAAACTCCAAAACCATGGAGGTTTTTTGTTTTGTTTGTTTTATTTTTCGGCCAGATTTGTAGTACCAGACATGAATTCCCTTTGGTGGAGCCAGCCTCAAGCCCAAATCAGAGAAGAGCTGGTTTCCCCTGTAACAGTCACTATTTCACCCGTGGGCTCGTTTACCTGGAAGGTCACTGTTGTGGCATGCAGGGTTCAGTGGTGGGGGGACAGCTGACGACTATTCCCCCGGTGCGTCCTTTCAGAACTATGAAAACTAGACATCAGGGAGGAAGTTTCCAGGTCTCTCATGTGCACCGGGCTGCAGGGAGAGCCCTGGGAAGCTACCCAAGGAAAAGGTGGGCGTGGCTGGGAATGAGGCTCAGTGTTTCCTATCCCAAGGTAGGGGAAGGTGTGCCTGAGCTCATGCAGACACGCACAAAGGACTCCGAGATCCCAAGGGAAGCCTGCCTGTCCTCCCTGCGAGAGTAAGAGACAGGCAATGGCCCCCATGCCTACCCCTTCAAACCAAGAGCCAGGACTAGGCCCAGTGCTCACAGTCACCACGGGACAGGTATGAAAGGAAGGCCAAGGAGATAAGGCCCCTGCAGGTCCACGTGGAAACCCCTGACACCTGACACCCAGCAGCCAGCCCCGACATGTGCCACAGGGAGGTCTCCATCTGCTGAGGGAACTTCGGGGGGGGGGCCCAAACACCATGTGGACTCAGCTTCTGCCCTCTGACGCGCCGAGGATGCTTAGTAGTCACGGCCTGGCGTGCAAAGGGGAGGAAAGGGAGCTGGAATGAATTGCTGCGGCTCCTCTCGTGTCCCCACAATCACCCTGTGACGAGAGGGTTGGGCTTTGCTGGGCGAGTTCTGACCTCTAGCCCAGAAGAGGCAGCACTGTCAAGTCTGAAGGGACCCCAGGAGTCAGAGGCGCCCCTGAGGCAGACTATGGGATGGGTACTGTCAGTGCTCCTACACGAGGTCTGGCTCCCAAAAGAGCCATCAGCCCTGTACCCGTCCCTGGAAAGGACATTAGACCCAGAGTGTCCACCCCAAACCCACAGTATGGTCCAGGAGGCTGCGTAATCATGAATGTTCTCGGGGATGGACCCAGTTTTCACACAGAAAGTCCCATGTCCAAAAGCCCCACCTGGGGCCTGGGCCAGAGGACATGGAGGAACAGGACCCAGGCCACCTACGGAGGGCTGCTGCTTCCGGTGTGGGAAGCCGTGGCGAGACAGCTACTGGAAGCCAGCAAGGGCCTCACAGCCCAGGTCTCCCCTGCAGCTCTGTCCCAGGTCGCAGCCTTTGGGCCTTCAGGGTGTCATCCCTGTGGGTGTGCGTGACATCTGTTCCCACCTCTAGTCAGAGCCCACTGTGCCTGCCGTTCCTTTCCCTGGACGTACAAGGGCTGGAGACAGCCCTGAGAGCCAGCCTCCAACCAGCCTCACGGAGTTCTAGCTTTCCCCACCCCCTCCCCTCCCCCCTGCTCTTTGCCCTCCCAGAGGCATCTGGACAAGCCCCAGCGAGAGGCCACAGCGGCATCATGGTTCCTCAGTCTCTGGGGCTGGTGTTCTTCTGCTTCCTGCTCCAGCTCCAGGGACCGCTAGGAGCAGTAGGTATGCGGGTCCCGTCCGTACAGGGAGGGTATCTCTGTGGACTGGGTGAGCGGAGAAGCCAAGCTGTTTGCGGCAGCAGCTGGGATATGCGCAGGAACCGCCTCACGGCTCCCTTGGATGTGTGTCCCTGCCCAAAGCAAAGGGAGTCTGGATGTTTGCCACTGCGAGGGAGGCTGTGCTTCATGCGGGCAGGGCCTTTGGCTATTGTTTTCCAAAAACTTTTTAGAAGTAGGGAGCTTTCCTGCCCCCTGGGGACACCGCCTGTGAAGCTGGACCCTGGAGGCCACTCAGTGCAGAGCTCTGAGGCAGGCGACCCGATGTGTCAGGACAGCCACAGAACACTGAGCTACAGGTTTGCTCACTGTCTCAGTCAGCCCTGTGGGTCACAGCCACAACGCCTCATCTACACACACATCACACACACGCATGCACACACGCACACACACACACCACACATCCACACACACACACACCACACATCCACACACACACACACCACACATCCACACACACACACCACACACATCACACACACCACACACATCACACACGCACACACATACACCACATCACACACACACACACCACACACATCACACCCACGCACACACCGCATGCATGCACGCACACATGCACACACACACACATACACATCACACACACATGGCTCTGAGACCTCAGGGGAGACAGTTTGAGGACATGCATAGAAAGTGCCAGAGCCTCACCTGCCAGAAGAGCCGCTGCCATGAATGTTCACATGCATGGTGGCATGGGTCCTCCAGCTAGCACTGTCCCCTTCCAAGCCCACGGCAAGTAGCGATCGCAGCGGGTTGTCCTCCTGTGAATGAGTGGTACAGGGCAGCGATGGCTTTACAGATGCCCTTTCCCGGCTTTCCCAGACACTCTGCTGCCGGGTGGAGACCTTGGGATCCCGTTTGTTTTGGAACCCTAGGAGGTTTATTGATGCAAACTCGTGTTTCCTAAGGACTCACCCCTCATCCCTGATCAAACCGTGTGTGCCCCAGTGGCTTGGGACAGATGCGTCTTCCTCTGCCTGGTTCTTGACAGGTCCTGTTTAGCAGCGTTCCGGCACTTTCCTTCCAAACCAGACCAGTTCTCCAGGAACACATTATGAAAGGCTCTCCAGCTTGACAAAGACACGGCGGTCCTCAGCCCCTCCTCTTCCCTCTCGCTGTTCCTTCCTAAAATGATTCCTCTGACTTCATCCCTGTCCTCCCAGAGGCCCCTCCATTTGACTATGCCAGCATCCTCCTGGTGACCAGAGCCCCGCTTTCAGCCCCACCTGAAGCCAGTTCCTCCCAGCAAGGCCCGTGTGGGATTCGCTTCTCTAAACACACCGTCTCTGCACAGGGAGAATCGTCTCTCCATTTCCGCAAGCCCTCTTCTCGATGCACTCGCTGCTGTGGACTCTTCTTTTTTTTTTTTTTTTTTTTTTGGTTTTTCGAGACAGGGTTTCTCTGTGGCTTTGGAGGCTGTCCTGGAACTGGCTCTGTACACCAGGCTGGTCTCGAACTCACAGAGATCCTTCTGCCTCTGCCTCGAGTGCTGGGATTAAAGGCGTGCACCACCACCGCCCGGCTGGACTCTTCCTTATCTGCCCTTGTCCCCCATCCTCTCTCTTCCCGTCCCAGTCACACGCCTCCCCGTGGCTACCCCGCTCACACACATCCTAGCCACACAGTTTATGCAGCATAATTGTCTTTTGGGGCCTCGTCTTCGTTGCTGGTTTCCGCCCCTAACTAATTTTAGCTAATTAAAAACCCTCATCCCCATCCCCACACTCATACCTAGGATTCAGACCCCATGTCTGTTGGGGTGTCCCAAAGAACCCTCAGATTCAGCATGTCCAAACCACGGCGGCTGCCTCACCAAACGTTGCTTTTCCGAAGCTAAATGGGGAACACTGGTCACGTAGTTCCTGTGAGGGCAGGGCTGTGTGGGGAAGGCTGGATCTGGGACCAAATGGGACATCTCCAGTATAGCAAATCACAGGACTAGGAATCCCAGGTGAAGCGGGTGTGACCATGGCACCCAGGGATGATGAAGTGTTCTCGTTCGATCTGAAGCCCCGGTGATGTGTGGTTTGGGATTCCTGAATTGACTCCAGGACACAGCGCAGGGCACACGGATGTGGGAATAGATGAAGAATTTAAATATATGCTTGTGTACACATTTTCTGTATGCACAATGTGTGATTTACTGTATCCTCTATGTCCCGTCTCAAGCCTTGCGTTCACTGGCATCGCAGGAGACTGCCATCTGGCAGCCTCAGACATTACTACCGATACATCTGAGTTTTTTTGTACGCCCTCCAACTATTTTCTCATTATAAATCCCTAAGAGATATAGTGAGCAGGTCAAACCACATAGATGTGGTAAATTTTCATTTTATCTAATGAATATATCACCATATACTTCTCTGTAAGGCTGTGCCGTGTTATCTGTCACCAACTATCAATGAAAACACACCCAATTTAAACTCAACTGAGCCTGGAGCTGGTCATGTCTTAGACCTTCAGGCCTCAGGAGAGGGTGAACCACCGGAGAGCCAACCTATGCACCTTCCATTCCTTGAGGTGGACAGGAGCTCTTTGGCTCCTATGCCAGAATGGAAGAATATTAATGTGGGTGGGTTGTTTCTGTCACTGAGGGAGATGGACAAGCTGTGTTCATCACTGAGAGATCTAATGTGGGTGGTTTCCATGAGCTGGCCCAGTGTGGTTTCCTTCACTTCCTGGGAGGATCCAGTGAGGGTGTGGAGGGTCCAGTGAGGGTGTGGAGGGTCCAGTGAGGGTGTGGAGGGAAAATCCAGTGAGGGTGTGGAGGGAAAATCCAGTGAGGGTGTGGAGGGAAAATCCAGTGAGGGTGTGGAGGGAAAATCCAGTGAGGGTGTGGAGGGAAAATCCAGTGAGGGTGTGGAGGGAAAATCCAGTGAGGGTGTGGAGGGAAAATCCAGTGAGGGTGTGGAGGGAAAATCCAGTGAGGGTGTGGAGGGAAGATCCAGTGAGGGTGTGGAGGATCCAGTGAGGGTGTGGAGGATCCAGTGAGGGTGTGGAGGATCCAGTGAGGGTGTGGAGGGAAAATCCAGTGAGGGTGTGGAGGATCCAGTGATGGTGTGGAGGATCCAGTGAGGGTGTGGGGGATCCAGTGAGGGTGTGGAGGGTCCAGTGAGGGTGTGGGGGATCCAGTGAGGGTGTGGGGGATCCAGTGAGGGTGTGGAGGATCCAGTGAGGGTGTGGAGGGAAAATCCAGTGAGGGTGTGGAGGATCCAGTGATGGTGTGGGGGATCCAGTGAGGGTGTGGAGGGAAATGCAGTGAGGGTGTGGAGGGTCCAGTGAGGGTGTGGGGGATCCAGTGAGGGTGTGGAGGGAAATGCAGTGAGGGTGTGGAGGGAAATGCAGTGAGGGTGTGGAGGGTCCAGTGAGGGTGTGGAGGATCCAGTGAGGGTGTGGAGGGAAATCCAGTGAGGGTGTGGAGGGAAATCCAGTGAGGGTGTGGAGGATCCAGTGAGGGTGTGGAGGATCCAGTGATGGTGTGGAGGATCCAGTGAGGGTGTGGGGGATCCAGTGAGGGTGTGGGGGATCCAGTGAGGGTGTGGGGGATCCAGTGAGGGTGTGGAGGGAAATGCAGTGAGGGTGTGGAGGGTCCAGTGAGGGTGTGGGGGATCCAGTGAGGGTGTGGAGGGAAATGCAGTGAGGGTGTGGAGGGTCCAGTGCGGGCGACTTCCGAGCGGCTTGGGGAAGCTGCCAGTATTGCATGGGACCTTCTGTTTTTCAGTTTTCCTAACCCAGGAGGAAGCACACAGTGTCCTACACCGGCAACGGCGTGCCTACTCATTCCTGGAGGAGCTAAGGACAGGCTCCCTGGAGAGAGAATGCCTTGAGGAGCAGTGTTCTTTTGAGGAGGCCCGAGAGATCTTCAAGAGCACCGAGAGGACAGTGAGTGCCCCTCACCCCGGGCGGGGGCCAGCGCTTATGTAGCACACTGAGACTGGAAGGAAGAGAGCTGGGAGTGTGAGGGTCACACCTGTGTTCGCAGCCGTCTCCCCGTTTCCGTGGTAGTTGTCACTCAGTACACATAGATACACAGGAACCCTGACACACAGGCTTCCACTTTCAACCACACTATATGTAATTTTCTTTTTTTGGTTTTACGACACAGGGTTTCTCTGTATTGTTTTGGAGGCTGTCAGTCCAGCCCGGCCTCGAACTCACAGAGATCCGCCTACCTCTGTTTCCCGAGAGCTGGGATTAAAGGTGTGGGCCACCACCACCCAGCCACAATATGTAATATTTTAAAATATTTAATGCGCTTTATTTACTTTCTTTTTGGACATTTTTTATTTAATTAACTTTTTTCATTTATTTTACATGCCAACCACAGTTTCCCCTCCCTCCTCCCCTCACAGATGACCCCAGCTAAGACTCCTAGCAACAGTGTACAGGGTGCCTGAACTGGCCATCTACTGTAAGCCCATAGACAAATTTCTACAACAGAATAAAAGTAACTTCTAAAGCACATTTGATGTGTCTGCTAGTTTCCCAGAGGAAATTCCCTTATTCCCTAAGGATCCAGGGCTGAGAAGGGAAGATTACCCTACCATGGAGGGCTGGCCACACACACTCAATGCTGTCCCCACAGGAGGCAGCTCCTTTGGAAACATCTGAGGAGCACCGTGGTTTCCTCCACCACACCTGGCCATGCGCAGTTCGATTCTGAGTCTCTCTCTTGTTTGTTTGCTTGCTTTAATTTGTTGAGGCAATGTCTTGCTCTGACGCCCAGACAGGCCCCCAACACTGTCTTCCTGCCTCTGCCTCCTCACTGCTGGATTTACAAGTATGTGCTACCATGCCCAGCCCTGCAGTTTCATTTTGCAGAAGAGGCATATTTAAACATTACTGAGCATTTTCCATTCTAGTTAGACATCTGTCTTTGGACGTTTCTTCCTAGGAAGGGTGTGTCAGGATAGGACGATCTTTGAGACTGGGTTCATCATGTTTCATTTTGTCATCATCTCTGGAAAAAAAACAGTCAATCACATTCCTGGAGTTATTGCAAGGGGTTTATTTTTCATTCTCCAAGGGATTTTTTTCCTCTGATCAGCTTTGACTCATATCACATCTCACACTCACAGAACATCTCTCTCACCAGAATTCTCATGCAGCAGGCTTCACACTCACAGGAGACCTCACTCATATTCAGAGAACACCTCTCTCACAAGAGTTCTTACATTCACAGGAGGCTTCCCACTCAAAAGGCCTCACACAGGAAATTCATGTATACAGAAGAATTTACACCCTCACAACACCTCACAGAGAACACCTCACACAGGGTACCTCACACAGAACACCTCACACATTACACCGCACACAGAACACCTCATTCTCACAGGCTATTTCACAGACTCAAAGGATACATCATGCAGGATGACACCCCCCTCCCACTCACAGAACAGCTCTTTCAAAAGTGTCCTCACACTGGTAGGACACCTCATACAGGGAACCTGCAGAAGCTACTTTTCTCACTGGTATAACCAAATACCTGACAAGAAAGAACTGAAGAAAAGGCAGGCTTGTTTTGGTTCACAGTTCAGGAGGAAGGCCATCATGGCAGGCAGGGAAGAAGTGACAGCAGGAACACGAGGCAGCTGGTCACAGTGCATCCAGTCAGGAAGTAGAGACTGACAGGGGTGGGGTGGGGGGAGGCAGGATTAGGGCCAGAACTCAGGTGCGCTGACTTGACAGAGGCAACTGCGTCACGGCTTTAGATGTCTCTAGAAAGGGCATAGAAAAATATGCCCCTCAGATACGCCAGAGGGTTCTGTCTCCCCAAGCCCCTCACAGAGGCCAAGGTCAGGAGCCCCTCCCACAGCCCTGAGCTCCCTCCATGGACACTAGCTGCTACTACTGCCCATGAACGTGCCTCACGTGGCTTCTTCTTCCCCCTCAGAAGCAGTTCTGGATGGTCTACACCGGTGAGTAGGTGAAGAGCCGTTTGCGGCCCTCCCCTGTGGGCCTTCTTTGTGGCACACTAACGACAGCCCACCCACAGATGGGGACCAATGCGCCTCGAATCCGTGCCAGAACGGGGGCACCTGCCAGGACCACCTCCAGTCCTACGTCTGCTTCTGCCTCATAGACTTTGAGGGCCGCAACTGTGAGAAGAGTAAGACCAGCCTCCTGCCTCAGTTCACAGACGGATGGAGTGGGGAGGGGAGGGCCCGGGCCCCTGATTCCAGGGTGTTCAGCCTCGTCAAGGAAGGACAGGGTGCCCAACCCCTCCTCAGCCCTGTGGGAAACCCGTTAAGTACTCTCTTCAAACTGAGAGTCTAAGGTTTGGGGTCTCAGACTCAGTGTCCCTTTTGGCTCCCTGCCCTGGAGGTTTGGTCTGGAGAGAGCTGAGGAAGGGTCCCTATGTCACTACCAGCTTCTGTCCCCACCAGGCAAGTCAGCCGGGTAAACTTCTCTGGACTCCCACAGGCGGCTCTCGGTTCTTCTGGGAGGGCATGTAAAGTACCACGGAGTACAACCCACCTAGGAGCCCTTTAACCCCAAGCCTGCGTGTGCAATCACGTAGGTGGGAAAGACCCATCTCCAGTTCTTCCTGGGGCCCGCGGCTCGCCGTCAAGCATACCTTTAGCTAGCTGTCTGTGTCCCATGGCCCAGACAGGCAGCAGTATTCCGGCTGGAGGATCCCCCAAGGTTGTCTCTTCAGACCAACGGCCTCATGTTGTTCACATGGGTTCTTCTTGGTGTCGCCAGAGAGAGTAGAAAGGAAGGAGGGGAGGCGCTCACAGGGTCCCTGACCTGAGAGGCTTGCACACCCTCCTGAGCTCCGATTGAGAGCCATAGGCAGGCCTCCAGACCGGAGCTCTGAGCTCGCATGCTGAGCCAGCTCTGATGCCCATGCTCTGCGCAGCTGAACTGACCACGCCCCTCTTCCGTCTGGCCCAATGGCCTATGCTGGAACCAAGGGCCTGGATGGCTCACGTGGTCTTGAAGGTTGCCCCTAGAATTAATTCTCCCTTTGGCCGTTCCACGGGCCAGTTTCCCATTCTGTTGGCAGTTTTTTTACTGTCCCTGGGAAATTTTTCCCTACCTCCAGAACCGTTCCCAACTTCTCCTTAGATTCTTGGAAGGGGAAAGTGTCACATACCAGCCCAGAGTCCTCAAAATGCCATCGAGGCTGCCACTGTTAGGACTTCTCAGATGTGTGACCCCCAGCTCCAGGTCTCCTCCCTGCAAATCGGTCCACGGGGGAGGTGATGCCAAGTTCCGTCTCAGTAGCCTGCCGCTGTACGCCGCCTACCAAGGGAACAAGAGCGACCGCCATCATGGCTGACCTGCCAGCCCCTCAGACTGCCTTCTGTCCTCAGACAAGAATGCCCAGCTGATCTGTGCAAATGAAAATGGCGGCTGTGACCAGTACTGCACTGACAATCCAGGGACCAAGCGCACCTGCCGCTGTCATGAGGACTACGTGCTGCAGCCGGATGGGGTGTCCTGCAAACCGAAAGGTACGGGTCCCACGCACTGGTGCTTCTTACACCCCGGAGAGTCAGTCACCTTCGCTGGCCTGTGGCACGTTATCAGCCCAAAGAGGCATAACAGGCCAGACCCCAGCTAAGCAAGCATCTGACAGACACTGGAAGCTGAGGGACGCCCTGCCTGGGAGCGTGGCATGCTGGGACAGCAACCTGCACTGCCTCAAGTGCCCTGGGGCGAAATGAGGCCCTTTGTCTCCTCTAACACCCAATCTGGACACCTCTAGGTTACATCTGGGAGTCACACGGACACACCTGGCACACCTGCCCACTGCTGCACAGTTGAGAACACAGTATGACTTACTGTGACAAATTACACACATGTGGGTAGCAGGAGTGTGCACCTGTGAGTTCACTGCCTGCAGGGGTCGAAAGGTGTCAGATCCCCGAGCTGCGTTGTGAGCTGCCTGATGTGGGAGCTGGGAACCAACCTCGGGTCCTCTGCAAGAGCAGTCAATGCTCTTAGCTGCTGGGCCACCTCTCCAGCTGCCTTAGAGTGCGTGTCTCGAATAAAACCTGTTTCTCCAGGAGATGATTGAACCTGCACTTCCAAGGGCTGAGGCTTCTTTGGAAGAGGATGGGTTCGGCCTGGTCCATGAAGCTAGAGGCCAGCGGACCACAACTAAATCTTCTTTCTTACCCAAGGAGTCAACAGTGTGCAAAGAAGCATGAGTGAGGTCAAAATAGCAGGACGTTCTGTGTGGTTGGTTCATTTCCCTTGCCTTGTAGCAAATCCAAGCAATATGTCCTCCCTGTGAAGACCTAGCATGTCCTCCCTGTGAAGACCTAGCGTGTCCTCCCTGTGAAGACCTAGCATGTCCTCCCTGTGAAGACCTAGCGTGTCCTCCCTATGGAGACCTAGTGTGTCCTCCCTATGGAGACCTAGCATGTCCTCCCTATGGAGACCTAGCGTGTCCTCCCTATGGAGACCTAGCGTGTCCTCCCTATGGAGACCTAGCGTGTCCTCCCTATGGAGACCTAGCATGTCCTCCCTATGGAGATCTAGCGTGTCCTCCCTATGGAGACCTAGCATGTCCTCCCTATGGAGACCTAGCGTGTCCTCCCTATGGAGACCTAGCATGTCCTCCCTATGAAGATTCAGGAGAGCTCAGTTCTAGAAAGCAAGGTCTCCGTTTTCCCAGCCCAGTGTCTCTCCTCTCACGGTGCTGTAATGGGCTGCCCTCTGCCCACTCAAGAGGGAAGCACTGCTCTCCTCCGCCCCGAGGCTTCCCACTGTCCCTGGCAGGGGCCAGCCGCTTCTGAACCCCTACCCACAAGCACCCTAACCTCAGCACCCCCTCGTCTGACTTCTGCTTCATACAGTTGAGTATCCTTGTGGGAGAATGCCTGTTGTGGAAAAAAGAAACTCCAGCAGCCCCCAAGGCCGGATTGTGGGAGGCAAGGTGTGTCCCAAAGGGGAGTGCCCGTGGCAGGTAAGACTCTCCGTCCTGTGCGGACCCCGCTTCTCCAGCTCTCTTCCCCCTGACTCCAGGGTTTCTACCCCAGGGTGTGGACGTTTTGAATTGGGTCATATTTACACACAAGGAACATGGGCTGGCCCCCACCCCACCCACATCCCAAGGTACTCCCCCCATGCACACACATACACACTTGTGCAGAGAAAGGGGAAGAAAAATGAATGTTGAGGCCTGCTCCATGCAGAAAACCATGCACAGTCTGCTGCTGCCTCGGGGGTCCCTTGAGGACCCGCATGTGTACCCCACCGTCCATCATCCTGTTCTACCAGAGCCCCCAGATCGAGAGCTGCTCTAAATCCCCAGGGCCCTGTGTTGCAGGCAGGAATCCTGGTAAGCCAGCTGCTTCCTGGGGGCAAGGGGACCATAAAAACAGTGTGACTTTCTGTGTCCGTGTGCCCCCCCCCAGGCTGTGCTGAAAAGCAGTGGGATATTGCTATGCGGGGCCACCCTGATGGACACCTCGTGGATAGTGTCCGCAGCCCACTGTTTCGATGGTATCCGGAGTTGGAGGAACATAACAGTGGTGCTGGGTAGGTATGGCCTATCCCTGGCCCCTCACATGAGGCATTTTCAGACCGACCGTGGCTCAGGGGCTGGCCAGATGACAGCTCCAAGAAGGGACCACACTAGAGCTGACTCACTTGGCCACTGAGCTTTCCCTTCCCTCAGGGAACAGGGGGAGGTTTAGGGCTGTTGTTCCCACCCTGCCCCTCTGAGTGGGTGACAAGAGTCCCATCCACTCCTCGCTCCTCAGTACGCTGGTTCTAGATACAGACCATTCACAACCTTCCCTCCATAACTGCAGGGGGCCCTGGTGCCTGTTTTTCCCAGCACCCCAGGGAGGGTACAAATCCTCCAGACACCAGAGGCTGAAGTGGCCCTGTCTTATGCTCTAGGCCAGAGGGCCAAGACGAGCAAGGATTCTGTGTGGGGATAGGGCCACCCGTGGTAGGGTGTGTGCCCTGAGTGGTGTGGTCCTCTCAGGCGAGCACGACTTCAGCGAGAAGGACGGGCCTGAGCAGGTGCGGCGGGTGGTACAGGTCTTTATCCCTGACAAGTACTCGCCAGGCAAGATCGACCACGACATCGCCCTGCTTCGCCTCCACCGGCCCGTGACCCTCACCGACTACGTGGTACCCCTGTGTCTGCCTGAAAGGGCCTTCTCTGAGAACACCCTATCCAGAATCCGCTTCTCCAGGGTCAGTGGCTGGGGCCAGCTGCTGGACCATGGTGCCACCGCCTTGGAGCTCATGGCTGTTGAGGTGCCCCGGATGATGACCCAGGACTGCCTGGAACGTGCCAAGCACAGTTCCAACACCCCCAAAATCACCGACAACATGTTCTGCGCTGGCTACGTGGACGGCACCAAGGACGCCTGCAAGGGCGACAGCGGCGGCCCTCACGCCACACACTACCGCGGCACATGGTACCTGACAGGCGTGGTCAGCTGGGGGGAGGGCTGTGCTGCTGTTGGCCACGTGGGCGTGTACACCAGGGTCTCCAGGTACACAGACTGGCTGATCAGATTCATGGACTCCAAGCTCCAGGTCGGGGTTTACCGAGTGGAACTACTCTAGCTCCTTGAGAAGCCCGGCCTTTCTTGAGGAGGAGGCTGTGTGGAGTCCATGGAGTCTCCTGCTATTCTTGGGGTGGGGAAGGAGAAAGAGAAAAAGAGAGAGAGAAGGAAGCAGAGGGGGAGATAAAGGAGGGAAGCAGACGGAAATGTCTGAACTACTAAACAAAGACTCTCAGAGGAGCTGGGCGGGAGAACCACAGGCAGGCAGCCCTAAGGGGCAGCATGGTCCTGAGAGAGACAAGGCCCGGCCCCTGCTACTGTCTCCCTGCAGCTGCCTCCCGTCTGTGTGTGCTCTGCCTGCAATGCTGCAGTGCGCACACGTGCATACAGAACATGTGTATGCACACGCATGCTCTGCCTGCAATGCTGCAGTGTGCACACATGCATATAGAATATGTGTATGCGCACGCGTGTGTGTGCACTCATGATGCACACATGGCCTGCACCATTGTTCACTTTGGTTTCTTTTTTGTGTGAGTACCCCGTCTTTATTTCAATTAAATGAGAAACATCATCTGAGGGCGTGGGGTCATCCTTCCGGGTTTCCCAAGGGGGTGTTTCTGAGGTAGTGTGTGTTCCTGCCATTCACTGCTTCCAACCTGACAGTGAGTGGCTGACCTTCGCAGCACACCTCGGGGAAGCCTGCTGTCCCCCTGGGTTGACCTTAACTCCGAGGTCAACCCTCAGTCTCCTGGGTCATCAGCAACTAATGCAGGTATGCAGCTCACAGAGCTGTCCTGAGGTGGCACCAAGGGCCCTGGAGAGACCTTACTTGAGGGTCTAGTTCCCCGAAGACTGACATGATCAGTACGAGATGTGCTTATTTTCCAATTAGCGCTTCCTTTCTGGGAGTGAGGCCAGAGAAAGAGTCGGGTGCAAAGGAAGGAACCCCCCAAACCAGCATTAGTATTTGGCCCGAATCCCCTCACCCTTGATGTCATCACAGATTCAGTGTAGGCACAGTGACCTCCACATAGGCAGCACCAGGCAGGGCAGAGGCCAGGCACCAGTTAACAGCCACCAGAGCTGCCACACATCTTTTCCTGGCTGTGTTACAATCTGCCACAGTCTGATTAACGGCAGTGATTTCCCGCCTGGTGAGATGCCAGCACCAGTCTCGACATCTGACATGACTGGGTGTGTTCCCTAGGCACCCACCGCATGCCAAGGCCCTCTGGGCACTGGCAACTGCGATAAGCCAAACACCATTCCAGTACCCTTTGGCTACGTGCAGGCACCCACAGTCATGAGCCATTGCCTAACCAACCACCATAGGCAGCACAGGCTGTAGCCAGTAAAGTGGGCACGAGGAGTCCCATTTCTGCCCGCGAATATACAGACACGGTGTGCAGACTCCCCAGGCTCAAAAATACCCCACCAGATGAGGCTTCTAAAGTACACAGGGTCAACGTGCTCTCCAACAGTCGCGTCTACTTGGAGAAAGTGGGGACAGGCTGAGCACTCTCCCCTCAGAGACCAGATTTTAGAGTTTTGTTGTTGTTGTTGCTGCTGCTGCTGTTCTCCAGGGTCTCTGAAGCACAGACTTTCAGGGGTGCCTCCTGGTGACAGGCCATGAGCCCAGAACCTCTTGAGTCTATTACAAGAAAGAGTTCTGGGCTCAGGGGAAGCCCCACCGCCTGGCCTGCAGCCCCAGTTACACCCATACACACTCCCAGAAGAGTCACATGGCCACAGCGTGGGAGAGGAGCTGTTTCCACGTTTGTGGCCCTCGAACCACTCGTCCCTCTCTGGCTTCCTCTTTCAGGACTGAGGGAAAATGGGGACCATGTGCTCTGCCAAAGTGACCATGACCATCAAACACCAAACCTCCCCTCACACATTCCCCACCCTTCATGCCTACAGCAAGGTTGGAAATGGCAGGCCTGGTGGGCCAACACACCCTCTGCCAACCCTGACGTGTGCCATGGGGCCATGTGGACTCCCCTAGATGTCACGTATCAGAGAAGTGAGCGTGTGTCAAGACCCCGGCAGTTCAGGGTTCCCGTCCCCCGGTAGGCCAGCCTGTTTCCATGACTAGACTGCATAGCCATTGTCCAGAGGACACATGAGCCTCACATTTACACTTGGGCCAAGAGTTAGCTGGGGCCAGCCAGAGGGCTGAGGGCTCCGGTGCAAACCCCACATGTGCCCTGGGACCCAGACTTTGCCTAATCGCCATCTCAGCTACTGTTTCTGAAAAAGATGATAAGGAAGTGACATTTTTACCAGTACTAGCAGGGTGGGATGAGTATTAAAAACCAGAAAATGCCATCAAATGGTGTTGTTTCTCTTAGCGCAAAGCAAGACCTCCCAGGCAGTTTGGGATAAGGATAGTCAGCCTGGAAAAGGGTGGGGTCGGTGACCGCAGTTCCCAGTCCTCTGACCTCATTGCTGGCCTGGGCTCCAATCAGGAGGCTAGATAAGCAGAGGGAGCATGGCCACCTGGGGCCCGCGGTGAGTGAACCTTGTCCCATGCCTGTCACAGCAACTGCTGTCCTTGACCACACCATGGGGAGCCTGCTGCGACTCAGCCTGCTCTGTGTTGTCCTGGCCAGCCTAGTGTTACATGGAAGAAGTGGTGAGTTCTCCAGCCCTTTGCACTGCGGAGTGACCCAGGAGGAGGCAAGACAGTGGGCAGGTGGAAGGCCAGGGTGGTGGGTCCACTGGCCCAGTCGCACACTGACTTCTGCTTGTCTAGTTAGGGCCGGCTGCGACTACTCACGCAGGGCACAAGAAGTTACTAGTGAAAGGACCTGGAGAAGGGAGCAAAACACACACACACACACACACACACACACACACCACGGGGCGGGGGGGGGGAGTCAGTGATCAGGAGAGATAAGGGCGGACAGAGATAAGAAGAAAGAGATAAACCGAGGAGATAAAGCCACCCCAGGCATGGAGGAGACAGGAGCCAGGGTACCCAAGCTTGGGAAGGCTCTACTGGGCCAGGGACTACGCAAGACAAGACAAGGCTGTGCAAACAGGCAGCAAGCAGCCCCAGGCCTGCTCAAAAGAAGGGCTCCTTTTAGTTAACCCAGAGCAGGCTCTGGGCACACGGAGCTGGCCTCGCGCCAGTACAAGAAGCAGCCTTGGCAACACCGGGGCACTTCCCACGCATTTGGTCCTTACCAAGGAGAGCATGGCCGGCAAACCTGACGTCTGCTCGATGGGTCAATGCCTGTGAGTCACCACCAAGGCCAGCACCACAGAGACAACTCCCCACCCCCATGTTTAAGGACAGCACTGTGCAGGAGCTGGGAAATCAGAGGCCATAAGCAACAAAACACAGCCAACGCTGAGCAGCACAATGCCAGCCACAGGACATTTGAGTCTTTGCTGGTTCCCACCGGCAAGTGTTGACAATGTTACCACATTTCAGTTTCATGCTGCCAATCTTGAACCTATGACTGCCTGCGGGACTGTCCCAGTAAAGCCATTCACGGAGGCTAAGACTTAGTCAAACGGACAGGCAAGCTGCCTGCATTCACTGGACTGGGACTTAGCAAGCACCCGCTGTTTCCAGGCCTGGAACAGCCACAGGCAGACAGGTCACATCTGGTTATAAGGCCATATTCCATTGAGGTGACAGCAGCAATACACAGCATCAGAGAGTAGCATCTGCATCACTGTGGCCGAATGCAAGGGGTCACGCCATGGAGAGATCCGTGTGAGCGGCCGGGCGTACCAACCGCATCTGCATCACTGTGGCCGAGTGTCTGGCACTGGCAGCTTTAGTGAAGAAGGGTCTCCTTTGGCTCGTGGTGTCAGAGGTCTCAGTCCATCGTGGCAGGGAGGGTGTGACAGGGTGGAGCAGCTGCCACCCTGCCATCCAGGAAGCAGAGGGCCTGCTTGGCCTTCTTTTCTCCTCTTTGCCCTCTCTAGGCTCCCGGGTGATGTGGTGTCGCCCCCACGCTCACAGAGCGTCTTTACCCCTCAGTCAGTTCTCTCTGGAAACACCCTTGCAGACAAACCCGGAGTGTGCGTCTCAGTCCAGGCTGACAGTGAAGGGTAATCATCACACCAGGGAAGAATGTTCCAGATGGGAAGAAAGCGTGTGCAACGGTCCTGGGTGAGATGAGTCCTGGTAACTGGTAAGGGCCTCTCACCGGTGTCCCTCCCTGTCTTCCAGTGTTTATTAACCGGGAACATGCCAACAGTGTCCTCACGAGGATTCGGAGAGCAAACTCAATTTTTGAAGAGTTGAAGAAAGGAAATCTGGAAAGAGAGTGTATGGAAGAAATGTGCAGCTATGAAGAGGCCCGCGAAGTCTTTGAGGATGTTAAGAAGACGGTGAGTCCGGGCAGGCCCATGTGCGGATGGCTGGGCCATCCCACCTTCCTTTCTAGCTGGGGCTGGGCCATCCCTGTGTGCTGCAGATTCCCAGGCTGGTTCACATTTGGATCTTCACCTACAAGCTTGTAGTCAGGGAAATATTACTTAAATATTACTATAATATGTTGGTAGTTAATGACATTGACTATACTTAAGGACATAAATGCCCAGTTCGGAATTAGAGGTTCCCTTGACTCACTACCCTGAATCCCTGTGTGTTCTGTGTGACCACACAGTCTATTACGATCCCACTGAAATCACCCAGCCTGGTCTGGGTGTGGGGGAGGAGGAGAATGTAAGGAGGAAACAGAAGCCACGGCACTTGAAAAAGGTGGCATTGAGGTCAACCACTGGCTGTAAGCAACCACACAATGGATAGAGGCATTTTAGAAAAGGAAGAAGTGTGGTTAGACTCCAGCCAGCATCTAAAAAAAAAGAAAAATTTAGTTATGCCTTCATAATATCAAGACCTAGAAGTGTGGGCAGACCGAGCTGACCCTCAGGGTGGCTTCTATGAAGTGTGCAAGGGGGCAGAGGGTGGGAAGAAAACATCTTAAGGTGAACCCATCTTCTATGTGTAGTTTCCCCAGCCTCTTAAGAGGAGACGAGGGGATGTCTCCACCAGGGGATCGATTCCAGGACGTTCAGCCTATGAGCTGGAGGGCAAAACATGGAGATGGTATTCAAATACTTATCTCCTAAAAAGACAAGCCTCACACTAAACAAATCCTAACACAAACTGAACCAGAGATCTAAAGGCAAACCAAGAAAAAAAAACCTTTTATAGAGATGTAGAACAAGGAGCTAGCCAGAGTTCTTTGGTATGGCTCCCAAAAATAATTCAAAATAAAAAATTTAATCAACGAGACTTTGTCAGATTGAAATCCCTCCCCTTGGGGTGGGGGTGAAACAGTTGAGAGAATGAATATATAAGCTACTGACCAAGAAAGTGTTTGCAACTCACACCTCCAATCAGGAATCGAGAGTCTCTAAAAATCTCATAGCCCAAGAGAGGAAATGAACAGGTAAGGAAGCTCAAAGAACAAAAGACCGGAACGGTTACATCACCAAAGACGAAATATGCTGACAAGCCCCTGAAGCCACCCCACCCCACTAGCCATCACGGGGATTCAGGGTAAAGGCACATCAGGGCCTACTATACTGTACTACACTGATAGTGGGTATCAGCATCGCTGGGGCTGGTGGCTGACTACAGACAGAGCGCGGAGCTGGCAGGGAGGGGGTCGAGAAGCCATCAGAGGATCCAAACTCATGTGCCACCTGAGGGGAAGTGCGCCTCACATGCACTTAGAAATAGTGTGAGTTTCTCAGAAAGCCATGTAAGGCGACCCACTGCTGTGGGGAAACCATCCCTGGGCACTTACCTAGAAAGAAAAAAAACTTATTTTCATATAAAAACTGCCTTGCTCCGGGCGGTGGTGGCGCACACCTTTAATCCCAGCACTCGGGAGGCAGAGGCAGGTGGATCTCTGTGAGTTCGAGGCCGGGCTGGACCGATAGCCTCCAAAACAATACAGAGAAACCCTGTCTCGTAAAAAACAAAAAAACAAACAAAAAAAACTGCCTTGTATTAGGCATTTTAATTTTTTTTCTGAGACAGAGTTTCTCTCTGTATAGCCTCTGTAGACCAGACCGGCCTTGTACTTGTGGAGATCCACCTGCCTCAGCCTTCTGAGTGCTGGGATTAAAGACATGAACCCCACCTCCCTACCCAGGCGTAAATGTTTATAGCAGCTCCAATCATAATTACCCCAAGTTGGAAATAGCATGAACATCACCCACTGTTGGGTGAAGGTAAGCACAGTTTGAGCCAGCAACAAATAGGAACACACTCGGGTACACAGGTAGCTGGACACGTTCTGGGGGCACGATCCTGAAGAGAACTTCACAGACCTGTTTCCTGTATCATTCATTTATCAGACATTCTTTAAAAGTCATCGCTTTATCGAAGAGCAGAAGGTTTGTGGTGGATATCAGGACTTGATGGGTTTCAGGGCTGGATGGGGGCTGTGATTGTGGAGTTTGGGTGAAGACAGGGCTGTGTGTATTTTGATTATATGGTGGTCACACATGTCTACACATGTGCTAAAGTTCAAAGAATTGTAAACACAAAGAAATTGATTTTACAGTGTGACATTTAAATTAGAAACTAGATTCCTTATTATTATTGTTACTATATTATTATTATTTCTCCTTCTTCTTATGTTTCCTTCTTCTACTTCTTATTGGAACTCATGTAGCCCAGGCTGGCCTCAAACTCAGTATGAAGTGTGGAATGACCTTGAACTTCAGTCCTCCTGCCTCAACTCCAAAGTGCTGGGATCACAGGCATTTACCATCACGTCTGATTATATTTGACTTTTTAAAATATATTCTGCACCAAGAAGATCTCTGTCTTTCTCTTCTTTGCCCATGAGATTGAATCAATGGCTTCCTACAAACTAGGCAAGTGCTCTACTCCAGGCTGCATCTCCAGTCTAAAATGAAATGTTTTAGAGACAGCGCATTCATCACTGTGACTACCATAACAGAGTCCGACTAGCAGAATGCCTCAAAGTAACAAGGATTTATCCACTTGAAATTTTGGGGGCAATGAGTGCAAAACTAGTACCCAGGCCAGACCAGGTCCTTTGGAAGTGCCCGAAGAAACTCTATGCTGTGACTCCAGATGTTACCCCAACCTCTGCCGTCATCTCCCATGACCTCCCGCCACTGTTGGCTCTGGGCGGCCTTTCTTTACTTTGAAATGGACACCGTCATTGGTTAAGAGCATGAGACAATTCTGGGTGACCTCACCTGGGTCTTCACCCTCATTTACAGCCACAAAGTCCCATGTCTAGTTAAGGTCATACTCTGAGCTCCCAGACAGATTTGAATGGGGAGTGGGATTGTGACCAACTGTGTGTACTGTGACCCTCTGTTAGTGTACCATGGGCCTTGACCTGTTCTAAGATAGTTAGCAAGTTATGCTTTTCCCATTCACATAACTGTGGCCAGCAGCTTGTGCTCTTTTTCTTATTTTTGAGCATGGGGTCTGTCAACTGAGCACCATACTCAGCATGGTGTTTCTTCCAGTCTATTTCTCGTTACCTTGAATGTAGTTTCAGTATTCAGCAAGGGCCACGTGCTGAAGCAGATAGGAGATGGGACCTCTCCGGGATGAAGCACGCAGGCAGCTCTCCCTTTCAGATGGAGAAGTTTTGGAACAGTCCTGGGAACTGGTTGCTAGAGACGGTTACTGTTAGTGTGAAATGTCTGTTTTGTTTTTCTCATGTGTTTTAAATTTTTCTTTTCTTTTAGAATGAATTCTGGAACAAATACGTAGGTAAGATGTTTCCTATTTCAATCCTGAGAAACTCCTTAACATTTAAGAGAAGGGATTGGCTTTGGGAATCATTTTTTTCCGTATTTTTTTATTTAACTTTTTACGCATGTCACTTTCAGCTCCCTCTCCCTCCACTCCTCCCCCAGGGAAACATTTTTAATTACATTCTTTTTCTATCTTATTTATCTACACTTTTCCCTTCTGGGTTTCCATGATACTTATTTAAAGTATTTTACAGTGAGTTTATATTGATTTCAGTTTTATGATTTATTAAAAATACACATCTTTTTAAATGGGATCTTGTTGCCCACAGTGGCCACAAACACTCAGGTTCTAGACACCCTCACTACTCAGCCTCTTGAGTACCTGGGGCTGTATGTGTTTTCCACCATGTCTGGATCAGATACAGACTTAAGTCGGGTCCTCCTTACATGAGGATATCAAATTCCATGTCATCTTTAACAAGTATAGCAAGCTGAAGCAAATGGTGGAGCTTGAAATACCAGGCTTTCTAAATGGTGGCCACCCTGATGACTGTTCACAACCTCAGAGACCATACTGGTCACGGCTACCTGGAAGTTGTTTCAAAATGGTAATTAGACACCACACACACACACACACACACACACACACACACACACACACACACACACACCGCCCCGTGAGGTGAGTGACATACCAAAAAAAAGTGGAACCTGAGCCAGAGCTGCATCACCCCCTGATTCTCATTCCACACCCAGAGGCCTTGGGGAAAAGGGTCCCCACCTTCTCTGATCAGCACCCAGTCCAGAAACAAGTGCCACAATGTCCCTTGTCCCCCTCCTTTGCAGAGGAGACAAAGCACCTCTGCTTGGCCACAAACACATTGTAATACACGCTGGTAGATATCAGGGACCCAGCCAATGATGCAAGGGACAGGGTATCACACATACATAGCCACCAGAGTGGGCACTAAACAAATCTATGATGAATTATTCTCAAGGAAGAGAAGCAAGCTCAGGCTATCTGCAAAGCGGATGCAAGGACCACACAGTGTCAGTGGTCCCCATGATGAAATGCCTTCAGCCTCGGTTTCCAAATCCTCTCATTGCAGACGGTGACCAGTGTGACAACAATCCTTGCCAGAATCAAGGCCAGTGTCAGGATGGCCTCGGGGACTACACATGCACCTGCATGGAGGGATTCGAGGGCAAAGACTGTGAATTCTGTAAGTCCCTCTGCTTGGGGTCATACCACGAGTAGGAAGGAGGGGAGACACAGAAATACCTAATGAGACAACTAAATCACCTGTAATTCTCTGACACATTAAACCCCAGAGATGTCTGTCCTCTGGCTGCTCTGTGGGTGCAGCATGAGAGACAATGTTCCCATGTGGGTCAGAGCTGCTGTGTCACCAAGAGGCAGGTGGCTGGGCAGCACACACGAGAATCGGTTAGACTGTTCACACTGCCCTTCCTACTTCTGCTCTGGCACAGTGGGCTGAGTCACCTCCTCCATTTACATTTGTCAAGCAAGAAATGTTCTAGATTGCCTAGTTTTAGATATATCATGCACTTTTTTATTTACATTTGTCACTACAAACATCAGCAAGGAAATGTTCTAAACTGCCTAGTTTTAGATATGTCATGTGCTTTTTTATTTACATTTGTCACTACAAACATCAACAAGGGATGTTCTAGATTGCCTAGTTTTAGATATATCATGCACTTTTTTATTTACATTTGTCACTACAAACATCAACAAGGGATGTTCTAGACTGCCTAGTTTTAGATATGTCATGTGCTTTTTTATTTACATTGTCACCACAAACATCAACAAGGAAATGTTTTAGATATGTCATACACTTAGTTGATTCTACAGTAATTTAGGTCACTATCAGCCCGGTTTTCCCTAACAAGAAAGATCTGCACGTCTTTTACTACTTTATTTATTGCCTTTGTTTTTAGCTGTGGCCTCACTCTCTAACCAAGGCTGGCCTAGAACATACTATATAGCCCACTCCAGATTTGAACTCCCAGCAATCCTCCTGCCTCAGCCTCCTAAGTACTAGAATTACAGGTGTATGTCACCGTGTCCAGGGGTAAATTACTTTCCTTCTAGAGTGAGATCTTTCTCTGCACGCCCCCAGGACTCTCTCTGGTGGAGCTGCTGATTATGAATCATTCCACAGAAGCCCAGACATCTGTAAATAACAGACTAACACATCTAGTGAGGGTCACAATCCCTGAGCTAAGATTCCACCGAGGTAGATTTTCTCCATAATTGTTTTTTCACCCAAGTAGAGGGTTGCAAAGCAAATTGCTATAGACATGGCTGGCTATGAGTGTGAGGTGGGTCATCCTGTGCTGGAAGCAGGTGGGTACCTCTGGTCCAAGTTGCTATGGATGGAGGTATATGGAATCAGTCAGCCTTAAGATACAATGGGCAGGTCAGACGTTACCAAGGGAGTTGAGCTGGTGCTATGGCACAATTTCATGTAGCCTGAAGTGCCTTCACTTCCATGACTTAACAGCGCGGAGACAGAGTGGAGCGACTTAAATGATACCCCTCACCCCCCCAACCCCCTACTGCGTCTACTCTAGACCTGGCTCCTGGCTTTCTGTCACACACTTCCCATGGATGGCTATTCCTTCCGGGTCTCACAGGAACCCAGATCCAAAAACACGACATGCCCACGGTACGGTGTCTGGTGCATCATTCTGGGCTCAGATACTGTTCATTGTTATTGAGCGAGGAAAGGAAGAGGTTCAACCGTGATACAACTCTTCCGCCATGCCAAGGGCAGCACCCTGGATGAGGGTGTGCGCCTGCCCTCGCTCACAAAGTTTCTAGTTGGAGAGTTTTGTGAGGACGCTGAGGGTCCCTTTCGTGGCCTGTGAGGATGCCAGGTGTTTCTCCTGCAGCCTGTGCATTGCAACTGTCCCTCCTATGGTCTGGGGAGGCAGCGGCAAGGAGAAACTTACTCGAGGCTGGCATCTCGTTTGACTACCTGTCCTGTTATCACGGGAACCACCCGTGTGTGTCTTTCTTGGGACTCTGTACTTTGCATAGCCCAGCCCTGGCATGGGTGAGATTGGGCAGACAGAACCGGCATGTCTGGACCCATCACATGACTATGAGAAGCCTCATCTGTCCTGTGCTTTCAGTTGTCCGGAAACTCTGCAGCCTAGACAACGGAGAGTGCGACCAGTTCTGCAGTGAAGAGCAGAACACAGTGGTGTGTTCCTGTGCCAGTGGTTACTTCCTGGGCGATGATGGCAAATCCTGCATCTCCACAGGTAGGGGTCATGGGGCCATGGGGACAGCGTGACACTACTGTGGGCAGTAGTGTGGCATGTTCTGGTGGGACTCGCAGAGGCCAACGATGCCAGGAGGTGGAGAATGAGAGCTGAGACTCTGGACAGTTCAACCAGAAAAAATTTAGGTTTGAAAGAAGATCCATTAGATCTAGGACAAAGAGCTATTCCAACTCAGCAGTTGAAGTGGCTGGCACTGTTGCCTCACTCCCCGCAAAGGAGGTGATCCCAGGCACCACTGTGCTGGGCCTACCCACAGCCCTGGCAGTGACTTCTGTGCAGGGTCACTCATGTTCCTCTGGCCTGAGGGCCTGAGAGCCACGGTTGTCACAATACCCCAAGGGCAGGACCCTCGTGGGTCAAAAAGGAGGCATGCGCAGGAGGAGGAGCCAGCAGAGCCAGCGCTGGCATCGTTTTTTGCAGCCCTGTGTTGATTGGGTTTTTTTTTAAACTGGTGAGAGTTGGGTGTGTCAGATCTTATAATCATTGGAGCCACAACTAACAAGGTTCTTAGAGAGAAGTGAAGGCCAGGTGGGCTGAGGAACATGGAGTGGGAGGATGAACCCCTTGTCAGGTCTATGAGAAGGGCCCAAATGGTGTTCTTAGTTACAAGGGTAAGTCAAAGAGAGACATCAAAGGGTGTATAAGCTTCTCAGCAGCGAGGAGCTTCAGAAGCTCCTTTTTTGATACACAAAAGGCCTTTTAGCGAGTCAATTCCTGCATACCAAAATCTCTTATCTGAACTGTGACTTGTCTTAAGGAACCATTACCTGAGCAAACACAGTCATCATAAGAATCCCAGGTTTGCCAGGAATGTCTTATGACTGAGGCTATGCCAAGGCTCTGAAATTCCCAAGAAAGAGCAACCTGATAAATCCCAGCTATCAATCACTGATTATTTACAATAGATTATTTCAAGGCCTAAGTGGCCATCACTCCATTGTGAATGCCAGGTGCAATGGCCCTTTTAATATTCTCTATACTCTCTGGGCCATACAGACACAAGACAAGCTGGGGATGGTAACTCTGAAAAGCCAGACTGTTGGTCCACAGGTGGTCCCGAACTCCCAGCATAGCATCTGCCAGGTGGGTTTCAAGTGCAGAATCTCAGGTCTACATACAGCACAGACGACCAAACGTACAGATGGGATGAGATGGGACTCAGCAGACGGAATCGTTTCTTCCTCTTTCCCTCTCATCTGCTGTTCACTGAAAGCAACTTATTTCAGAAATTAAGTAATCAGAAAAGAGTGGCTCCAAATAAATCATCCTTTAAGGATGAGCCTAATTGTGTAACATGAAATCTCCCAACACAAGGATTTTCCACTGACATTCTTTTAAGTTTAAATTAGTTCAGAAAATTTTAGCTTGGAGCTGTTTCTTGACATGCATACAAATTATTTTAACTCCAGGGATAATCACAAATCAATTCAAAAACAAGGCTTAATGTCTGAGGTGTGGCTGGGTAGTAGAGAGCTTGCCCAGCACACTCTCGAAGGCCGTAGCTACACATTTCAGCCCAGAGATAACAAACTACAGGACAATGAGCATCATGTCTCCAGGCAACAGAGTCCCCAGTCGTCCTCACAGGCTAAGGACACAACCATGTCTTATGGGAACACGAGTAAAGGTTGCCTTGCAACCACGTGACCTTAGACCATCACTGGCATAGGACAGCCTCTGTGTTCAGCCTCTGTCTACAGTAACTCTCACCATCGGGTTCTGCTCCTTCCCCTGAAGATCCTAAAGGCTTTCAACTCTGCCTAATGGAAGTTTCTGCCTCTCACTTTTAACTTGATTAAAAGCAGCCAGCAATCACCATGCCACAGCCTGAATGCTGGGCTGCCAAGAAATTTAATTTGCCTGTCATCTTTAAAATACGGCTCCCACAGCCTCAGGGCATGGGCAAAGTGTAAACAAGGTTTTGTTTTGTTTTTTAGTCAATGGCCTCCAACTCCCAAAAGAGTTCCTGTCCCTTTCTAAAACTTCATGATCATAATCTTTGCTACCCACAATCCTTTCAGCGTCCTTGTCTTCTGAGAGCCCACTGGGACCACCCATTTGGCTCTGCAAATGGAACTCTAAGCTTTCTCCAGCTTGCATCTCTCAATGCTTTCAAATTCTTCTTACAAACTAGCCCCAAGCCTTCCCAACCACAGAATCGAGTAGGCATAGCAACAATCCCACTCTTGGTACGAAATTTTTGTACTAGCCAGGATTTCAGTGATGTGACAAAACACCTGACATAATTCAAAGGATGAAGGATTTACTTTAGCTCCTGGCTTCAGAGATTTCAGTCCCTCATGGTGAGGGAAGAGCAGTTGAGCAAAGAGGCTCTCCTAATGGCTGCCATTAATGGAGAGAGAAATGTCTGTGCCAACAAGGTTTGTCCCTCTCTCTTTTTCATTTTATTTGGGTCCCCAGACTATGTGATAGTGCTGTCTACACTTGGGGCATGTCTCCCCCATCTTAGTTAATCTTCTCTGGAAACGTCTTTATAGTTATGCCAAGAGTTGTGTTTTCTTTTTCTTTGAGAAAGGGTTTCTATGTGTAGCCCTGGCTGGTCTTGAACTCACAGAGATTCGCCTGCCTTTGCCTCCCGAGTGCTGGGATTAAAGGTGTACGCCACCACCTCCCTTCAAGCTGTATTTTACTAATCTCTCACTTGACTCTCAGTCACGCTTACCCATCATGCCCTGGCCTTCCAGGGAGCCTCACTAGGCCTGTGGAGCTTCTGGCTTTGCTGAGGCCTCTGTTGTCCCTATTCCTTCAGTGCCCTTTCCCTGTGGGAAAACCACCATAGGACGGAGGAAGAGGTCTCTAGGCCAGAGCACCAACCACAGTGAACCTGTCACTGAAGACTTCATAATGGACTTGGATATGCTGTCCCCTACGGAGAGCCCTTCTGATCTGCTCAACCTCAACCAGACACAACCGGAAAAGGACGGCACAGACCTTATTAGGATCGTGGGTGGCCGAGAATGCAAAGATGGAGAGTGTCCCTGGCAGGTAACTGGCCCAAGCTAGAACTGGTTGCAAGTAGAACAACCTCTTGTGCTACAGGCTTGTGGGACAATCCACTAAGGGTCAGCGACCCAGACCTGCAAGGGTCCTTACCAGTGGTCATCATTCCATATCTAGTGTGAGCATTTTTTAAACAGAACATCTAAATGCTAAGATGCATAAAGTATGCTAAAAAAAGACCCATCTATTTATGTTCAAAATGTTTGTTTTCAACCATTCTTTGGTTTTGACATGGTCTAGGCCTGCCAGACTTAGGAAAAAAATCCCAAACCCTTCAGTGAGACTTAAGCCTCCATCAATGAATGCTCTCTGATGTAAAAGCCTGAACACTGTTGGGAAATGCTCATCTACTCTCTGACCCCAGCTTGGCAGGGTGCTCTGAATGCCTTCCATCATCTTCACTGGCACTTGAGGCTTTCAATTCCAAAACCTAAATGGCTATCCTAGAAGCAAAATCTGAAGAGCAGTGGTTCTCAATCTGTGGGTCGCAACCTTTTTTTTTTTTTTTTGGAGGTGCATATCAGATATCCTGTATATCAGATATTTACATGATAATATGTAATAGCAAAATTACAGTTATAATGTATACAGTATAAAGTATGAAATAATTTTATCGTTGGAGGGGTCACTACCACATGAGGAGCTGTATTAAAGGGCCACAGCTAGTGAGGTTGAGGACCACCGTCCTAGAGTCACTGGCAATTCCCAGAGATCACCTAGACACCCTCCACCCACAGGGCAGGAAGGGCTGACCAGAGGCAGGAGATGCAGTCCCAGAGTGTGTGTAACTCTTTGGACACACTTACTGAGAACTTGCCAGGCCCAGAGCAGCTTCTGGGTGTAGACTACCGGATCACTTATTGGCAGGGAGGCTGCAGAATTCTCCTGGGGGCCCTGAGGGAGTCTGGGTAAGAGAGATTTGCTCCTAGGCCAAGATTTGGTTCCTTCTTAGAAAAAACGTGTGGAGTTGGGTCTTGGGAGGGAGAGGACTGGCTTCCTCTCCCTCGTCACTCAAGCAAGGTTTGAGTTTATGTAATTATCAAAGATAAATAGAGACCAGAAAGATGGCTCAGTGGTTAAGAGTGAGTACTCCTTTCCCAGAGGACCAGAGTCCAACCCCTGGCACATGTATCAGGCAGCTCACAATCTCCTGTTGTAGGGCTGGCTGGTGGGGGAGAGAGCAAAGCCTTGCTGTGGGTAGAACGCATGGGTCCTCTGCCAGGCTCAGGAATTTGACTCTAAGAGAAAGGTACCTCGCACTCTCTAGGAAGCAGACAGGCAGAAGGGGCAGGCTCTCTGGCAGTCCAGCGGAGGTGGAAAGCTATTGTCAGAGACATACCTGTAAGGATCCTGGAAAAGGCTCTGTGAGACCTCTCAGAGAGCCCACACGGCCTAGGCAGCTTGGCACGGCCCTTGTGCAGCTCATAGACACTTTGCAGACAGTCTGTTCTGGTCACAGGCTCTGCTCATCAATGACGACAATGAGGGGTTCTGTGGGGGCACCATCTTGAATGAGTTCTACATCCTCACGGCAGCCCACTGTCTGCACCAAGCCAAGCGATTCAAGGTGAGGGTAGGTAAGTGACACTCCAGCCCTGGGGACAACACCATCTCAAGCCCGAGGAGGGCTATCGTCGCTCTCCCCCAGGACCTCTGGAACGCATGGGATGTGTTAGCAACACTTGCTCAAATACAGAAGCCCTGCTTGGAGACTGAAAGTTCATCTCCTAGGAAGAGGGTCAGAGCGAAGGGGGCAGGCATCTACAGATTTCCCCGGGGGCCAGGCCATGCCTCACAGAGATGTCCCTCTTCGGTGCCATTCACGACACTCCTCTCTTAGTGTCCTTTCCCCAAAATCCTTCCCGGCCTGCCACTCCACAACTCTCTTGGGGTCTGATTTAGGTCATTTTAATGTTTCTACAAGACCCATGAGCTATCCAGTGAAAACCCAGTGCAAACCTCAACTGCAGTTTGAAAATGTCTGGTGTGTCCCTGCCACAGACCTAACAGGTACAGAGAGGTGAGGCTGTTCCAGTTGTATCGAAAGCCTTGACTTCCCGTGTGTAGAAATCAATAAGCTTCCTCTGTGAGTGAGATGTTACTGCCTTCGCCTGTCACGGCCAGTAGCGTTGCGCTTCCAGGTCATCTCGGCTCAGACTGCTTGGGCCTGGGTGCGCCGTCCAGGTCTGGAATAGGAGACCCTTGGCCCTGAGCAGATGGGCAGACACAGCTTGCAGGAAATACTCAGGGAACATCTGCCAAAGCATGAGGAATTGGAAAGAACTGGAGTCCTAAACCTTCACACAAAAACCTGGGCAGAGAGGTGGAGAGATGGCTCAGTGGTTAACAGTACTCACTGTTCTTGCAGAGGACCTGGGTTCGGTTCCCGGGTCCCATATGGTGGCTCACAACTGTCTGTGACTCCAGCTCAAAGGGGGTCTGATGCCCTGGTCTCCACAGGCACTAGGCATGCACACATACACATACACGTAGGCAAACACTCATCCACATAAAGTAAACACTTAAAAGTCTTTTGCCGGGCGGTGGTGGCGCACACCTTTAATCCCAGCACTCGGGAGGCAGAGGCAGACGGATCTCTGTGAGTTCCAGACCAGCCTGGTCTACAGAGTGAGTTCCAGAACAGCTTCCAAAACAATACAGAGAAACCCTGTCTCAAAAAGGAACTTTAGTCTCTCTACAGAGAACAGGCTTTTCTAGAATCTGCAAGCATCTGCCTCATCCTTTTGAGTGCTAGGAACACAAGCATATACTCCTTGACTTGGCTCTGTTTTTATATTAGGAAAAAACTTATTTTGGGGGGAGGGGTTTATTTGGATTACACTTCCACACCACTGTTCATCATCAAAGGAAGTCAGGACAGGAACTCTAACAGGGCAGGAACCTGGAGGCAGGAGCTGATGCAATGGAGGGTGCTGCTTCCTGGCTTGCTCCCCGAGATTTACTCTCCAGCTTTCTTACAGAACCCAGGACAATCAGCCCAGGGTTAGCCCCACCCACAATAGGCTGGGCCTTCCCCCATCAATCACTAATTAAGAGAATGTCCTACAGGCCTGCCTACAGCCTGATCTTACGGAGGTTCCCTCTTCTCTGATGATTCTGGCCTGTGTGGAGGTGACGTAAGAGCAGCTAGCTCATTCCCTTCCTCCCTTCCTTCCTTCCTTTTCTTGTGTGCGTGGAACTTCCTATGTAGATAATGCTGGCCTCAAACTCACAGAGATCCTTCTGCCTCTGCCTCCTTTCTGATGGGACTAAAGACACGCTTCTTTATAAGCAGCTAATGTACAAACACCTGGCCCTCAGAGAACTAACTGCCATCTGCCCCCTCCCTCTCCCTCTCCCTCCCTCCCTCTTCCCTCCCCCTCCCTCTCTCTCTTCCCTCCCCCTCCCTCTCTCTCTCACTCCTCTCTCTCCTCTCTCTCTCTCACTCCCCTCTCTCCTGTCTCTCCCTCTCTTCCACTCCCCCCTCTCTCTCCATCTCCTTCCCTTTCTCTCCTTCTCTCTCTCCCTCTCTCCCCCTCTCCTCCTCCCTCTCTCTCTCCCCTCCCCTCTTGTCCTTCCCTCCCCCTCCCCTCCTCCCCCTCCCCCTCCAGGGGACCGGAACACAGAGCTGGAGGAAGGCAATGAGATGACACATGAGGTGGACGTGGTCATAAAACACAACAAGTTTGTGAGGGAGACCTACGACTTCGACATCGCCGTGCTCAGGCTGAAGACCCCCATCATATTCCGCATGAACGTGGCCCCTGCCTGCCTGCCTGAGAAGGACTGGGCCGAGGCCACACTGATGACGCAAAAGTCAGGCATCGTGAGCGGGTTTGGACGCACGCATGAGAAGGGCCGCCAGTCACACATCTTGAAGAAGCTGGAGGTGCCCTATGTCGACCGCAACACCTGCAAACTCTCCACCAGCTTCACCATCACGCAGAATATGTTCTGCGCTGGCTATGACGCCAAGCCGGAGGACGCCTGCCAGGGGGACAGTGGCGGCCCCCACGTCACCCGGTTCAAGGACACCTACTTTGTGACTGGCATTGTCAGCTGGGGAGAGGGGTGTGCGAGGAAGGGCAAGTATGGGATCTATACGAAAGTCACGGCCTTCCTCAGGTGGATTGACAAGTCCATGAGGGCCAGGGTGGTGCCCACGTCTGAGATCCCACGGTCAACAAGTCCTCCCCATTAAAGCGGTAGTCCTCCAGACCTGCTGAGTCACGTATGGTGTTGTTTAATGTTGAGCAGGAAGTTTCCCCGGGCAGCTAGCTGCCCACCTGCAGTGGTAGGGAGACTCTTTGGCTCCCAATCTGATGTTCCCTTAACTTCAAGGTATAAGAAACAGACTCTAATTGAGCAAAGGTTTCTCTTCCTGAGCCAGACTGGAGGACTCTCGGGGAGCCACTGGCTCTAGGGGGCGGAGCCGTCTCTGCCGTCTCTGCTCACACTTGCCTGGAGTCATCTCTGTCCACTAATACAGTTCCCATTTTGAGTGGTCAAACTAAACCTCTCAACTGACTGTGCTTAACTACCTTGAGAATAAATGCCCACAGCCATAGGCGCGTGCACGCACGCGCATGCACACACACACACACACACACACACACACACACACACAGTGGGACAGGGATGTCAGTCCCTCGGCAGGTGCTTTAGGTCAGGGGCCTAGACTCTGATACGTGTTTGCTTGGTGAGAGAACCCTCACTCTCCTCTGGGAACTGGGAACGTAGCATGTCACCCACTGAAAACAAAGAATCCTTGGAAAGTAGACTAAGATCTTTGTCTAAAGATAAAGGGACCTTTAACCCAGATCCAAGGCAAGGACCAGCCCCTATGCTGGGTTGCCTTGGAGTGTGTGCGGGAGTCTTCCTGAACTGCGCTGTCTGGAGAGTGTGCATGGACTCTGCTGAGCTGAGTGGCGAATATGTGTGTACCTCCCTGAGCGAGCGGGCTGTGTGCTGATTGTGCGTGTGCCTCCCTGGGCTGGGCTGTGCGCTAAGTGTGTGTGCAGTCTCCCAGGATGTGCTTCCTGGGGTGAGCACCTGGGGTTTCCCCTAGATAAACCTGGTGTTGAGTGTGCATAGACCGTTCTTCCTGAGCACATTATTGGCTCACCAAGTGCTAATACAGACCCTATCCCCCAGCACATTGGTCTTAGCCCTGCTCGGATTAGGAGACCCCAGAGGGGTCTTTGCAAAGCCTTAATCCTGGCCTTACCCCAGACGTTAAATTCTAAGTCTCTAGAATGGGCCTCAACCCAGAAGTTTCTGGAACTCTCCCAGATACTGTCATACCACCAAATCAGGTGTCCAGTGGCATGGTGTGGCTGGACAGGGTTCATGGCACGTCTCCCCCCCTCTAGTCGTCCATTGCCTCCAGGCCCCAAGTTAAATGTTTGTGAAAACCAAGCCTACTTTTAGTAAATAGACTAACATTTTTTCCAGAAGTTTTCCTATAGTTTGCACTTTGCATAACTTTCCAAAGCAAAGTTTAAAGGTTCTAGTACAAAACCTCCCCCAAATCAAGAGCTGGACAGAGTCCTTTGTAAACAAATTTTGCAAGGTTGGAGAAAGTCAACAAAAGCAACACTCAGTTTCCTAGAACGGAGAGTGGGGCTGAGCTCTGCAGCCACAGCTGGGTCAGTGGTGTGGACACTGAGAACACCTTCTCCATATCATGGCCCACTGGCTCTGCATGCAGCTCAGCAGTGGGAAGGTCACGGCTTCCGCCCACCCCTGTAGATGGGCTTTGTAGCTGCCCTTAAGAACAAGAACTCCCTGGTCTCCAACAACTCCAGGACAAGATCAGCACCCACACAGGTCCCTGTACCAACAGAAAGACAAGCACAAGAGTCTGGGTGGGTGTGGGGTCATCCCACAGGGACCCTGAGCAGACATTTAAAGAGTGAATTTACTCAAGAGCACTTCATGCTAGACACAGCTCACTACCTGAAATAGTAAGAGAATGGCAAATAATTTCAAAGCAAACAGAAACGCCAGCATCCAGACCCTGAGTGTCAGGGGCCAGGAAGGTGAACCCCAGATTCAGTGAGGCACCTCCCCTTGTGGCTCTGGCAATCAGGACACGGGCTTCCTGTGGTGCTGGCAGTGGGCACAGGCTCCCTGGGGTACTGTGGATGAGAGTGCAGGTTCCCAGGGAGGACGATGGGGGTTTCTAGACTGAGTGCAGAGAAGAGCAGCATCCCCTCATTAGGCCCTGCTCCGATCAAACACTTCCTGATTCAGAAACAAGACCTAGCAAATGGCAGGAGAAACGACTTTCTTCCAGATGGTGGCTTTCACGGAAGCCACGCCCCTCTCCCAGTGCCAAGGCCCGTGGGTCCTGGAAGTCTTCGGTGTTTTTCCATATCCTGGATGGATGGGAGAAGCTGACACTGGGGGAGAGATGCTGTGTACCAGCCCCCAGATCAGCACTGGGAGGTACCCATGCCTAGAGAAGGGGTGAGTGGGGAAGTCAGAACCGGAGCTGGGCTCAGTACCCCAGCTCTAGGCAAGAGGGGCAACATCCTCTGGGAATTTGCTCCCCTCTATCTGGACCCCAAATTCATGGAGGATGAGGAAACAGACACTTGCATGCACAGAAATCCCATGAAAATGCAAAATCTGAAACCATAATACATAATTCCTCTAGCTTCTTAAAAGCAACTTCACAATGTATGTATTTAAGTTAGGCTGCTGCCTGCTTTGCTGTCTTTGCATCCTACTTTAATAAACTGTGTTTATAGGTGTCGTTAGATTTTTTGTCCTTGTGGGTATCATTCAGTCAACAAAAGATGCAGGCTCTAGCCCCGTTCATAGAACAACCCATTAGGTCACGATACACTTCCCTCTCCTCCTCCAGGCTCCACGTCTGCCTCTTCCTCCCCAGTCACTGCTGGTTGCCTAACAGTAAATGCAGTAAGGGACCACAATGACAGTGCTTCTCCTACTCAAGTCATCAGCAACTAGGCCCACGGGTCACCTAATCTAGCCCTCTCTGTGTTCTAAGGCACATGTTGACCACTGTGCCTCCGGGGACCCTGGACTTTGGCTGTTTGCAGACTTTGCCCTGCCCGGGGCTAGCCAGGCTCTGGGTCAGCATGGCTAGCTGTGTCCAGCTGCTCTGGGGCCTCATTCTCCCCTTCATCCTTACCCTTGTCCTGCACCAGGTGGAGCTTTCAGGTAGGTGCTTGATGTTTCGTTCTTTTCAAAGCATTGTCTTAAAGCTGGTGTCTCGTTCTATAGCCCAAGCTGGTCTGGAGCTCACTGTGTGGTTCAGGCTAGCTTCAACCCTTGGCAATTCTCCTGCCTCAGTCTTCCAAGTGCTAGGGCTACAGAATGAACCACCAGACCGAGCCATCTCATCCTTGGTCTGGCCCCGGCGGTTCTGTAGACGATATTGTCTTTAAGGGGCCTAAAGGACAAGCTACGTCCTCTCTCTCCATCCTGAAAGTTGGTGTGGATCTCATTGCCATGTGGTAAGAGCTGCTGAAGGGGACCGGAACCTGTCGGGTCACGGTCAGCCTAAGTCGTGCCGGACAAGACCGGCTGGGCACCCCTTAGTCAAACCTGGGCTGCAGCCTGTCCACCTAGACATCAGGGGTTCTTGTCCTTTGCCGAAGGACTGCCAGGGACGGTTAGCCTGAGGCTTGATCCACACAGCTCTTTCCACCCTGGAGCATCTAAGCCTTCCATCCCAGCCTCTGAGTCTCTTCTGGGCTCTCTATGTCCTCCTATTCCCGACCCCTGACCGCAACCCGAGCTCCTCAGCGCAGCCTCGGTTCCAGGCCACCAGTCTTTACTCTCTCTGACTTCTGCACCCCCTCCATCCCACCTAACATTCCTCATCACTGGTCGCTTCATGTGTAACAGTTTGCCCAGTGACAACTCCCTGTGAGGGTGGAGTCCACAGAGACAAGTCCTGTCAGCTGGCTCTCAGAAAAACCACTGTTGTCGGGGTGAGCCTGCGAGTTTGGTGATCCACGTGTGCCACAATTGGGGCTTCTTGGTTCTTGGTACCTTGCACACTGGTGTGGGAAAAAAAAGACAGACGGCTTGCATACCTTCCCTCGCCCTGCAGACGGGGGCTGTGAGCCGAGTACTTCTGGTGTGTAGGGCTGTGTCTCTAAGCCCTGGGGTGGATACAGCCATCTTGCCACAGTAACACCAAACTGTGCACCTCAGTGCATCTCTGAGGAAATTGTCCTCTCCTCTGACCACTGCCCAAAGCACCCCAGGTGGCAGCATGGTGAGGTGGTACCCAGTACTCCTCTGAGAACAGGCAGGAAGGAAAACTGTAGGTCTGAGCTCTGTCTAAGCAAGCTCACCTGAGTCCACCCTCGTGCAAAATGCTCCAGAACTGTCGGGCTCAGCCTGTCTGTCCTTCCTGCCACCCAGTCCCTGCATTCCCGTATTCGATGTTCACACGCAGACACTCTCCACTCTCCAGGAAGCACTTACCTGATGTGTCTGTCCACCCCGAAAAAGTACCAGTACAGTTAATGTTGAAGCAGACGGTGGTGTGCCTGTCCGTGTCCCTTTGTTTCTGTGTGGACACTCACCTACTGCAGCAGACTGAGCAGAGCCTCTCAGGACCTGGATCCTCTGCCCATAAAATGCCAGTGTGTCTGCCTAAGTCACAAGGGCCATCCTCTCACCCAACAAAAAGGAAGTCCATGCCCAGCATAGGAATGCCCCCTGGCCCTGAAGACGGGCACAGCCCAGGCCCTGCTGATGAGTAGGGAATAGCACGTGCCCACTGAGGCACCGTGTGAGAGGGGGCCTCTGCTCACACTGCTGCTTCCCTCTGTAGTGTTCCTTCCAGCCTCTGAGGCTAACAGTGTCCTGGTGAGATGGAGACGTGCTGGTTCTTATCTCCTGGAGGAAATCTTCGAGGGCAACTTGGAAAGGGAATGCTATGAGGAAATCTGCAACTATGAGGAAGCAAGAGAAGTTTTTGAAAATGACATCATGACCGTACGTGAGCCCCGTGAACCCTGCGGTACTCCATGCTTTCTAACTGTTCAGGCTCAGCTGTCTCAGAGGACAGGTCTAATTAGCCTATTTCCTTATGGAGGGGTTGGTGTGAGCCTGACTTCCCAGATGAGGGGCCAGACTTAGAGGCCATGGCAGCAGATGGAACCATGCCCTAGGCTCCTTCTGGTCCAGCTACCTAGCTGGGAAGACCTGCCCATCATACCACAACCAAACTCCACTGTTTGCACATGTTGAGAGAATTTTAGAAAGACAAACTTCTTCCCTTATATGCACGTGAACACGCGTATACACACACACACACACACACACACACACACACACACAATTTCCCATGATCCATACTCTGGATTAGGTAAGTCTTTTTTCACACATGCATAAACACTAACAATCAGATAAGCATTTTTCATCTCTAATTACTCATAAGATTATCAGAAGACAGAAAGAAGAAGCTAAAACTTAAGGGACAGTGACTATTTTGGGGTAAATACTTCAGAATACAGTTGTAAAATATTTAATAATTTCCCAGGCTGGGGTGTGGCATGGTGGTGGAATGGTTGTCTAGAACATAATTCTGGTTTAATCTCCCGCATTGCAGTAGTTTTGCGTGTTAATGTAGCAATATTTAAAATTGGTTGTGCGTAAACATTGACTTCTTATCCGCAGAGTGCTTAAATATTTTTATTATAGTTTCTTAAAGACTCACAGGGTGTAGAGGATCCTTCTCAAACAGTGCATCTGTCATTTGGTGAGAGCAATGGAAGTTTTTAAAGCAGCCCACCCTAAATTTCAATTTGCTGATTTCCTGAGTGGGGGGAGAGCGATTGTGATGTCACCCACACATCATTAGGAAGTCTGAGTATGGTTTGGGGACATATCACAGGTCTGAAGAGTTCATTTGGATATCCCACTCCAGCCTCCCCCACGGACCTTTACAGTTACAACAGCTTACTTCTTAAATAAAAAAAAAGAGAGAGAGAGATGGGGATTTCAGACGATTGCCGAGCATTTCTGCAGAGTGAGGTAGAAAGGGAACAGGAAGAAGGTGCTGTATCTTTGTGTCCTCACATGCAGCATCCTTCCTCCCTGTGAGACATGGTAAGTAACCGGTGTAGAATATTCCATCCTGCTCAGTGTAAACAGTCTGTTAAATCACACGCAAAAATTCCACATCCTCCGGATGAGTGAGTGAAACCCCTGTTTCCTTAGCCCTGAGTCCATCCATGGCAGACAAGGGCAGAGAGCATCCTTGGTGCCATCCATGGTAGACTGAATCCAGAAGGACCCCAGGGTGATCTTCTTACCTTTTGCCTTGACAGGAAGGATTCTGGAGACAGTACAAGGGTAAGTGCTCTCTCAGCTCTCTGTCCTAAGGTAAGGCTCAGGGCAGTCTCCCCTGGGACCCACAGATTCACATCCTGAACCGCTGGCTCCTGGGACCTGCTGTGTGCCCGGGAAGTGCACTGATCCCAAGGCTCGCACTACAGGACCACAGTGAGGCCTCTGGTTTCATTGTGCTAATGTCTGGGAGTTTCTAGGCAGCTGGGGCTCAGGTAACAGACAGGAGCTCTTCCCTACCTCATAGCTCATCCTACTTCTGGGAAAGGGCATGCCGTGGGTCAGGAGATGGGTCAGATTTGAGAGAATTGTGGCTGTAACCCAGATGTGTGCCTCGGGGTCTTCTCCTTAGGCGTTCCTCAGGAGGAGTGTGGGGTGGGCTATCCTCAGGAGGAGTGTGGGGTGGGTGTCAGCAGAAAGAAATACAGAAGTGCATGGAGACCATAGGGGCGCGTGGGAACAAGGACACACTTTGAAATGAGTAGAAGATCCTGGGGTGCACAGATTGGGGTCTGGGGAACACGTGACACCCGGTGGGTCAGGGAGCACCTGGAACCTGGTCTCCTCTTCCCTGGTGGAGCAAGCTGAGGATGGACCTGTCTCAAGAGTCCCTTCTGCCCCCACAGGTGGTTCTCCGTGTAACTCCCAGCCCTGCCTCAACAATGGGACGTGCAGGGACCACATCCGCAACTACAGCTGTGCGTGCCCCCCTGGCTACGAGGGCAGGGACTGTGCAATGGGTGAGGCAACGCCCACTCTCCATCCACGACGGGCTTGCTGAGCGACACAGCAGCTCGCTCAGGCAGCAGAGGGTGCCCTGGGGACCTTGATGCAGTCATCTCTGGGGACTCCTTGGTTCCTCTACTCTACCTCACCCCGGGTATCACAGGTGCTGGCTGCATTCTGTGACCCACTGTCCGACACTAGCCCTCTTGAAATTTTCATAGCCAAAGGTCTCCTTTCCCAACTATCCCCCCAATCCATAATCTGCACACTAGTTGGAAGGGGTGCACGCAGATGTGTCTGACTGACATGCCAGTCAGGGATACTCTAGAGAGAGAGAAATCTAAGCAAAACTTGGTAAGTAAATAGTCTCTGCCCCCCCTCCCGCTTTAAGCTGTAGAATTTGGATGTAGGGTTTCACACCCGCAGGCACAGTCTCCTGCTGAGCTACGTTTCCAGGCCTTTTTAACTTTCTATTTTTGGTCAGGGTGTAAATATATTCCCTGGTCTGGTCTTGAACTTGCTATGCATGGGTCTGGAGAGGGGGCTTGGAGGTTAGGAGGATGGGCTGCTCTTCCAGGTTTGATTCCCAGCAGCCCCCAGGTGGCAGCTCACAGCCTTCTATAACTCCAGTCCCAGGAGGACCTAACACCCCCTCTGGCCTCTGTGGGCACTGTACCCGTACAGTACACAGACATATATAGGCAAAACACCCCTCTACATAACAAATAAAAACAAAGGAACTTGCCATATAGTCCAGGCAGGCCTTGAACTAATGATCTTCTGCCCCTCGAACTTCAGAGTAACTATGATAAGCAGACCTGTACCACCAGGCCTGACTTAAGTCCTTAAATGCCTGTGCAAATGACCTCATGGGGCCAAGAGAATGAATTCCTGATCATTGTCAACTACAGAAGTGACACGTGTAACTCTTTCTGTGTCTCCGTAGCTTAGAACCAGCTCTCAGTGGGGAAAAGGTTCATTAGCCCAGACCTTTCCCTCTCCACCACCTCCCTGGAGATGCTTAGACTTCAGTCCCGCCTCAGCTGTTCAGCTGCTACTGGGCTCTGACCCCCTGTGGGTCCCATTCCTGCTCATTGAAGGAACAACCCAAAGACAGCAGCTTTTGCAGTGGGAAAGGAAACATCTAGGGAGGTAGATGAGATTCCAGTAAGACGTCCAGGACTGGACAGCTCCTGATGTCAAACACAGGTGACATCTCACTGCGTCTCCATGGACATACCTGGAGTGTGGGAAGCTTTACCTGAAAATTGGCGAGCTGGACAGAATGGGGCCTGTGGGTGTATCTCCAGGTTTATATTTTCTTTGCTCACGTAACATACAAGAAACACTGGGACCACGCGTGAGCAGATGACGACATTGGCCGTTCCACACCAGCATGGTTGCTTTTGCCTTTTCTTCCTTTTTAGCTAAAAATGAATGTCACCTAGAGAGGACGGACGGGTGCCAGCACTTCTGCCATCCAGGGCAGTCATCCTACATGTGCAGCTGTGCCAGGGGCTACAAGCTGGGCAAGGACCACAAGTCATGCAGTCCAAGTGGTGAGTTTTCACGGAGGTAGGCTAGTTCGCCCTCCACGCCCCTTCCTTCTGACGCTCACAGGTTGCATGCAGTGCTGTGGCTAGCGGGATGCAATGGCCTACTCAGGGTTCTGGCCTCCACGTTAGAACAGAGGTGCTTTGCGTCGGGAGGCCCGTCATTCTATTGTCCCCACTGCCCCCTAAATAAGCCTGGGAGCGGTGCAGCTTCACCCTGTCTGCCAGCATTCAGATGAGACTCTGGCTAGCACCACTGTAGGCACCACATCCATTTGGAAAACACTGACTCTCTTCTTGTGTTGCCATCACAAACGAAGACAAATGTGCCTGTGGAGCCCTGACTTCCAAAGACATCAGGACACCAGAAAGAGGCAGCCAGTGTCTGCCTAGCTTCCCGTGGCAGGTAAGAGCATTCCATAACAGCTTTTGTTTTGTTGCAAACTTCATCCGTCATTTCCATTTTCTTGCCGAAAACAGGTGATGGCCAAGTGAATTAGGAACAAACCCTTCCCTGGGCTGCACGGGCCTTTGTGGAGCACAAACTCAGATGTCTGCAGCATTTGCTCCACACTGGATGTGCTCATTGGTTACAGCCACCGGCTACACCATGTAGCCAATAACCAGTCTCTCCGTTTGTGCCTGGTGCTATAGCCCAGCCCCATGGAGACATGGTTATCTGTGCACGGCTTCTGATCCACCTAACAGTTCTGACTCAGCTCCACCACCCTGCCCCCACCTAGCAGTTCTGACTCAGCTCCATCGCCCTGCCCCCACCTAGCAGTTCTGACTCAGCTCCATCACCCTGCCCCCACCTAGCAGTTCTGACTCAGCTCCATCGCCCTGCCCCCACCTAGCAGTTCTGACTCAGCTCCATCACCCTGCCCCCACCTAGCAGTTCTGACTCAGCTCCATCACCCTGCCCCCACCTAGCAGTTCTGACTCAGCTCGGTTGATATTCTCCTCGGTATGGAACATGGAGCATGTGTTGTTTATTTTTCTGCCTGGTGACTATTGGCGGGTTGCAGACCTTATGGGCTTTAACTCTCATTCGCTACAGGAAGCTTTGTGCTCTATAAACATATTTCAACGGTGCTCTGGAACATGGTTAAGATACCTGGAAACAGTTTAATCCAATTGCACCTTGCGTTTGGGCTTTGCTGGGGAAGGCCAGTGCAGTGTTCGGAGTCGGTTGCTTCCCCTACAGAGACAAGACCCTCCTGGGTTCTACCAAATGCTTGGCCACCTTTTCAGCTGGCTGGCATAGCACACTCTTTCAGCCTTCATGAGCCCCAGAACTGTCCCCTCTGGCCCCTTAGGGTGAGCTTCCCTGGCCTTAAGTAGTCTCCCGTCACAAATGCTCCTGCGGGGCCTGCAGCTCCCTGGGGTCCTCTCCTTTAGCATCCATCCTACAGCCACTGTGTCCCCTGGCGCTCTCCACGCCCTTGCCACTCTGTGGGCTCTGCCTGATTAGCCATCCTGGCCTGTGCCATGCAAACTCAGAAGTCACAAAAGCTCTGGCCCCTGAAAGAGCATGACCCTGGTGGCCAGCCCTTCAGCTCTGTTTTCCTTGTTCTGGGGGGTGGGGTCAGACAGCCCTTACTCTTCCGTGGCTGAGATGTCAGAGCGCGGGGAGCTGTAGGAGAGGCAGTGGGGTGTAGACACTGACCGACTGTCCCTGGCGCCCCAGGCTGCACTCAGCCTTACTGTTCCCTCGTCTTACACTGGCTGCTAACAGCTATTTTCTGTGTTTTTTTTAAAGGTCAAGTTAACAAACTCTGAAGGAAAGGAATTCTGTGGTGGTGTTTTAATACAGGAGGACTTTGTGTTGACAACGGCAAAGTGTTCGTTACTACACAACAATATTAGTGTAAAAGCAAGTAAGTATTTCTTCACGAATTGTACAAGATCTCATTATAAATAAAAGGAATAAGCCAACAGGAATAAAACGGAAAATTTTCAACTAGAAAATTTGTTTCTACAGCAAGATGTGAAATAGCTTCGGTAATACCAAGGTAGGTATAAAAATCACAGGCATACACAAAACAAGACATATCTAGTAGAATATGGACCCAGCAAGCCAGTGCTAAGGAGCATTTAGCCCAGGACAGACTGGAGCAGTAGAACAACCCCCTGGACATAGAGGGCTGGCTGAGGGCCAGAGGAGCTGGGTTCAAATCCCTCCTCCCTGTAGTCTGGGGCTGCAACCCTGTCTCATCTCGGGACGTATCTATGGCCTCATTTTCCATCTATAAACCTGGACAGTCATTTCTCCCCCCTGGGAAGTTCCTATCATCAGCTAGGATGTGCTCAACAGAAAGTGTGAGACTTGAAGTGAGTGTGTCCCGCTCTTTATCCCTAAACACTCGTGTGGACAAACGAGCAGCTGAGACATCCTGAGAGAGCTAAATGCCTCATGAGAAGTCCTGAGTGCCACGTTCACACTGGCCTGGGGACGTTCCTTTTCACCGCCTCCTGCTTTCTCCCCACCCCCGACGCGGTACCGTACTCCAGGATAAAACTGACTTTTTTTAGAGGACGGTGTAAAGTGGCCCATTCTATGATCTGCATCCAAGGCCCAGAAGAGGGAAGAGCACTGCCTCTGCCCCGCAGCGTTTCCCTGAGGTCAGCTCCCGGAGGCTAGCTAGCTGTGGCCCCCTTGAAAACACGACTGTGTAAGAGGGTTGGTTGCTCCTGGTTTCAGATGCTGGCTGGAAGATTGAGGTCAGGCGTACTCATGTGCACATGCGCTATGATGAGGCCTCAGGCGAGAACGACCTCTCCCTGCTGGAGCTGGAGAGGCCCTTGCAGTGTCCCGACTCTGGGCTCCCCGTCTGTGTCCCCGAGAGGGACTTTGCCGAGCGCGTCCTCATCCCTCAAACACTGGGTCTCCTCAGCGGCTGGACGCTCAATGGCACAGGCCTGGATGCCACACCGACTGTGATTCCAGTCACACACGTGGACAGGGAGGAATGTGGACAGACCCTGAATGTGACTGTCACGACCAGAACAAGCTGCGAGAGGGCCGTCATGGTGACGGGGCCTTGGCTGGAGGGGAGCGTGGTGACCCGAAAACACAAGGGCACCTGGTTCCTCACGGGGATCCTAGGTTCAACACCACCACCAGGGCAGACGCACGCGCTCCTCACCACAGTCCCAAGATACTCCATGTGGTTTAAACAGATTATGAAGTAACTGAAATCCAACAACACAGCTACAAGACGGTCAGGTCCTGCCAGTTACCACTGGAAAACAATGGCTCTTTGCTTGGAACTCGACATCTTTCTTCATTTTTGAGCATTTCATACATACACACAATGAAACGTGACCACGTACACACAATGAAACGTGACCACATACACACAATGAAACGTGCCCCATGTCCCTTCTCCTGCTTGCCTCATATGCCCCTCAACACATCCCTCCCATGTGTCATTTACTGGTAGCCCGGTAAGTTCCACTAGTGCTACCTCAGGTGCACACACGTACAGGTGAGGTACCGATGAGGCGTCGGGGAGAACACCTCCCTGCTGGAGCTAGAAAAGCTGGCTCCAGCTACCGACGGTGCGCTGCGCGGCCATCCACGGGAGCGCCCTCAGAAACGAATGATTTCCCCTCCCCCAGCAGCTCCTCAGTAAGGAGTGGGGCACGGAGCGCACCCCAACCCAAGCCATCCATGCCAGCATCTCGTCTGGCCTGACCTCATGCAGTCCTGACAAGGTTACCACAGCGGCTGTGGGTCCGGAAGTGAAACCATGCTCTATGTCCAACAGACAGCACCTCACGCCATCCCACCCCACTTTTCAGCTCCTGTGTTCTCCCCGCCTCTCCTCCACCAAGTTCCCTGGGCCTGGGCAGCGGAGGGAGTGAGGGCGCAAGGCGGTGGGGAGAGTTAAGATGCTTCACTTCTGACTGAACAGTCTCTTGTTCTCAGCACCTGAACCAATGGTGCGTCTTTGCATTAATTGTCACCTGATTTAAAAAGATGATTCTCCTGCCAGGTTCAGATCTATGGGTATAAGCACAAGTATTTAGAAGATGATTTTTAGCATGGCTGTTTAGCAAAGTAACAACAGCAGCTTCTACCCTAGGGCCTATGACTGGCCCAGTCATGAGCTTTTGACCAGGATTGTAGTTCCAAGCACAAAATCCCTCCTGCGGAACAGGCCTCAGATTCAACCAGAAAGCAGTTATCTCCATAATAGCTATGCCATAATTGGACCAGGGGACACATCTGGCCTGGCTTGTCAGCATTGTGGATTCAGAGTCCAGTATTGGACCCCAATGCCTTTGCCCACCCTTCAGCTGGCACAGTACCTTCTAGCACTATGAAAGCTAAGTGGCAGGGAGAGTTTCCTTGGTAGTTTTTATCTAAGGCCTTAAGGGGAAAAAAACAGGGTATGTTAAATAAAATCACTGTCAGTCATAAACCTGCTGAGTTACTGAGTGGACGCTGAGTGCTGAAGGACTGTGACACAGGTGGTTGTGTCATACTTGGTCTGACACACATTGGCACAGACATCTCTGGGACAGAGGTGTCTCAGCATTACCAGTGAGACAAAAAGGCAGCTTAAGTCTAATTGTGCATGGTTCACTGCTAAGAGAGAGAGACGCAGGTTTAGTGTTGGAAGACAGCATGGGCCTCCTCGTAAGACTGTGCCTAGACACTTTGGGTGAAGAAAAACCCATCAGCAGGTTCCAGGGAGTGCTGGAGCCTCTCACCTCAGCCATGTGGTCAGTGAGGCTGTGTACCCTCATCTCTGAGGAGCGTGGCTGTGATAATGTGACTCTGCCTTTAGGACTTAAGAGGCTAAAATAGGAAGGTCTCGCATTTGGAGACAGCCTGGGTTGCAAGAATAAGAAATTGTCTCAAAACACAAATATAACCCCTAGGCAAGGACTAGGCGTGAGCATTTGATGTTGATGTAAACTAGCCACAAGAACAGATGGGTCTGTGTGCCCACAAACCAGGACTCCATACAAAGATGCTACAATCTCTTTAACTGCCACGTTCAACTATTTATCACTTTTTAAACCATCAGTGTTTGACTTGGGACGTCACTGTTTAATAAACTACCTGTAGACGCCTGAAGTTTTTATTGTGTTGCTGCTAAACCCGGAAGAATGGACTCCAGGATGCTCATAGGAGGCCAACATTTGAATCATTGCACAGATAACAGGTCATCAGAAGTTGAGGTGCTTAAGCACCCCCACTGAATAGCAGGGTCAGCTCTGCATGAGGGCAGTGCCGGACATGTACACAAAGGAGACAGGAAGGCAGGCTCCACCTGGGGGAGCTCACCGACTGGCCAGCTGGGACCATATCCACTGCCAGGCAGCTTCTCTGCACAGCAGGCTGGTTGGGCATGACCAGGGACATACAGCCCACAGGGATAGAATGCTCTGCAGCCAGTGTGTGGCATAGGTGGTGTTCTCAGTGGCAGAACTCATAACACAAGGTCACACAAGGGACCACTTCCTTGAACCCTGTCCTGGAACCCGGCTTCAGCTGCCATGAGGAGAACCTGAGCTGTCCACCCACATTCCGCCGAGCCTGGTGTGTACAAGTCCACATGAATCATAGCAGTGAGCCACCTTCTAGACCCCAGGACCATGCTCCCCATCACATGGAGCCAAAACCCACTAAGTGCTGACCGGGCTTCTGATTTGGGCAAACACAGAACACAGGATGCTGGTGCTGTGCTGCTGCAGGAGGATGCTGATGAAGCAACCACACACAAGGCAAGTCCTGCCTCTGTGTCCATGGAGACGGAGCAGCCACATGCAAGTCCTGCCTCTGTGTCCATGGAGACGGAGCAGCCACATGCAAGTGCTGCCTCTGTGTCCATGGAGACGGAGCAGCCACATGCAAGTCCTGCCTCTGTCCCCATGGAGACGGAGCAGCCACATGCAAGTCCTGCCTCTGTGTCCCCATGGAGACGGAACAGCCACATGCAAGTCCTGCCTGCGTCCCCATGGAGACAGAGCAGCCACATGCAAGTCCTGCCTCTGTCCATGGAGACGGAGCAGCTACATGCAAGTCCTGCCTCTGTCCCCATGGAGACGGAACAGCCACATGCAAGTCCTGCCTCTGTCCCCATGGAGACGGAACAGCCACATGCAAGTCCTGCCTGTGTCCATGGAGACAGAGAAGCCACATGCAAGTCCTGCCTCTGTGTCCCCATGGAGACGGAACAGCCACATGCAAGTCCTGCCTCTGTGTCCATGGAGACGGAGCAGCCACATGCAAGTCCTGCCTCTGTGTCCATGGAGACGGAACAGCCACATGTAAGTCCTGCCTCTGTGTCCATGGAGACGGAGCAGCCACATGCAAGTCCTGCCTCTGTGTCCCCATGGAGACGGAGCAGCCACATGCAAGTCTTGCCTCTGTCCCCATGGAGACCGAGTAGCACATGCAAGTCCTGCCTGCGTCCCCATGGAGACAGAGCAGCCACATGCAAGTCCTGCCTCTGTCCATGGAGACGGAGCAGCTACATGCAAGTCCTGCCTCTGTGTCCATGGAGACGGAGCAGCCACATGCAAGTCCTGCCTCTGTCCCCATGGAGACGGAACAGCCACATGCAAGTCCTGCCTGTGTCCATGGAGACAGAGAAGCCACATGCAAGTCCTGCCTCTGTGTCCCCATGGAGACGGAACAGCCACATGCAAGTCCTGCCTCTGTGTCCATGGAGACGGAGCAGCCACATGCAAGTCCTGCCTCTGTGTCCCCATGGAGACGGAACAGCCACATGCAAGTCCTGCCTCTGTGTCCCCATGGAGACCGAGTAGCACATGCAAGTCCTGCCTCTGTGTCCCCATGGAGACGGAACAGCCACATGCAAGTCCTGCCTCTGTCCCCATGGAGACGGAGCAGCCACATGCAAGTCCTGCCTCTGTCCCCATGGAGACGGAGCAGCCACATGCAAGTCCTGCCTCTGTCCCCATGGAGACGGAGCAGCCACATGCAAGTCCTGCCTCTGTGTCCATGGAGACGGAGCAGCCACATACAAGTCCTGCCTCTGTGTCCTCATGGAGACGGAGCAGCCACATGCAAGTCTTGCCTCTGTCCCCATGGAGACCGAGTAGCACATGCAAGTCCTGCCTGCGTCCCCATGGAGACAGAGCAGCCACATGCAAGTCCTGCCTCTGTCCATGGAGACGGAGCAGCTACATGCAAGTCCTGCCTCTGTGTCCATGGAGACGGAGCAGCCACATGCAAGTCCTGCCTCTGTCCCCATGGAGACGGAACAGCCACATGCAAGTCCTGCCTCTGTGCCCCCATGGAGAAGGACATGTAAGTTCCATCACAGCTCATCTGCACAAGGACAGCTCCTGAACATGACAACTCTGAAGAGACCCACTTAAATAGTTAGCTTTTCTTCCTTAGCGTGTTTCTCGTCAACAAGGGGAAAGTCTCCCATGGTGGCACAAACCTACAATCCCAAGCACTTGGAAGGGGACACACAGGCAAGAAGTGCATCATGTTCTAGGACAGCATGGTCTTCACAGAGCTCCACCCTTGCCAGGTTATGTCAAAAGACCCCACCTCAATAAAAAATAAATAAACAACACAACAAACATGCGAACACCACCACCATCACCCCGAGGAAGCGCACGCTCTTAAGAAGCAGGGAGGTGTCTGGTGCTGCAGGATAAGTTGTGCAGTCTTCTGCTGAAGGCCCCAGGAAGGGGCTCTACAAGTGGTCAGTTGGGTGCAGCTGCACAGTGAGGCCTGACACACAGTGACTGCAGGAAAAGGAAAGGAGCAGAGGACAGCCAACGGTAGCTCAGGAGCCATTACCACAGCCCAACAGCCAGGCCTTGGGCCCAGGCCCGCAGCCTCCAGCATCGTCAGGAAATGAGCACAGAACTGAATAACTTACACCAGACTAAATTCTGCTTTAAATAAAAAAAAAAGGTTTATTTACTTTTGTGTGTCTGTACGCCTGAGTGAGTTTACGTGCACCTACATACAGGAGCCCACGGAGTCCACAGAGGGCACTAAGTGCCCTAGAACTGGAGTTGGAGATGGCTGTGAGCGGCCTTGTGGGTGCTGGGAACCAAACCCACATCCTCTGATGAGGAGGGGGGGGGTAATTGTTCTAATCAATGAACCATCCCTCCAGCCCCAAAATCCACTTTAGAAAAAGGAGTCAAGTTAACCAAGCATTTTGAGCTCACAAAAAGCTCAGATTTTGCATATGAAAATAGACGCATCATGTAACATACAATAAAGAATGTGTTTTGTACAAATTTTGATTACCTTAAAAAAAAGCTACAAAATATTACAAAGATAGCCTCCATAAACAACTCATTAACTGAAGCACAGTGGTCTGCTTCCCAGGAGTTCATGAGCAGCAGCCAAGAGCACGTTGTCTGTCTGTCCATCCAGAAAAAGGATTCCAGGTCTTGGCATGAGTTAGGACCATAGAGAACATGGCTAGACATGCGTGCTAGCAACCGTCTCCAAGACCCTGGAGAAGCACGAAGATCTGGGCTACAGAGGACAGCTGCAGGGGGGTAGACACACTCCGTCTGCAGGGTCTGGTCATCAGCACACCGTGGACAGTGGAGGGAAAGGGTTTTGCTTGCTGACAACCAGTTTCTGATGCTGATGGGAGATGTAGCCTTTAATGTGACCCTGAAACAGAGAAAACCGGATCAGCCTACACTTCTGAGTCTCAGTCACATCAAATATGCCAGGTGACACAACAATGATGAAAACCACTCTTCCCTGGGGACAGCAGCTTAACAAACACATATGGCAGAGAGTATGAAATATAGGCTATACCTCTCTCTCACACGGGCCCATGTGAGGCCCTTTGAATAGTATTTCCTGGGAAAACAATTAGTTATATCAGAAAATGCTTTCATAAATACAGGAGGTCTTTTGACATCAGCACCACACTAAACAGAAGACAACATTATCACCCACTAAATAGAAGAGTCTTTGGTGACACTAGCGCCACACTAAATAGAAGAGTCTTTGGTGACACTAGTGCCACACTAAATAGAAGAGTCTTTGGTGACACTAGCGCCACACTAAATAGAAGAGTCTTTGGTGACACTGGTGCCACACTGAAGCCTGCTAAGAGCAGGCAAAGACCACGCACCATGTATATTAAGTTGGCCAGAATGCACTGGACTTCATCAATGTCCACGTCTTCCACATGCATGAATTTCAAGGCCACCAGAAAGGCGTCTAGAGATAGCTGATGAGTTTTGAGTAACAAATACCTATGGAGGAAGAGAAATTACCATAATTAACAGCAGGACTCAGTACTTCAAGGACCAACAGGAGGAACCCTGAGCAGGTTAATAAGAAATGACATCATTTAGTGAACCAACGAACACACATATGTTAAGTTGCTACTAACTAGATATACCCTAAGACACACCCCACAAACAACAGCTACTAAACATAATAGTATATAAGCTTCCTACTATAAACAGTCACTGTACAAATGGAATGTTCTAGATATCTCTGTGCCTCTGAGAGCCAGCGTTCAGCTCACACACAGGAAAAGGAACCACCACACTTAACTCCCCGACACACACCGTGCTAGAAAAGGCAAGAGGACATCAGTTCCACGCTCGGACAGGCAGGTGTCCGGCACTCCATGCTGATGTTGAGTCTGCTGCCAAGCTATGCCATTACCCCAGCCTTCAGGGTCAGCCTGTCCCATGAGGGGCAGGATGCTGCCCCACAGACTGCAACAGCCTGCACCATATGCCAAGGGTGCTGTTTGCCACACACCCTACTTTCTTTTTAGTCTGTGTGCATATGTGTGTGTGAGAATGCAGGTGTGTAGAGTTCAGAGAACAACCTCCCCTGCCAGTCCCAGCCTTCAAGGTGCTGACACAGGGTCTCCTTATCGCTACTGTTTTATACCTCATACGTCAGTTGGTCTGCAAGCTTCCAGTTTTTACACAGATTCTGGGGTTCAAACCCTGGTCCACAGGCTTGCACAACAGCACTTTGCCCATGAGCGTTTCCCAGGCCCACTCACACTTTCTTGAAGAGGTTCCTGTAAGTGATGATCTTCAGCTTCTCCAGGATGAGGAAGATGCCACAGCGGATGAAGAAAGTCTCGTGCTTTGCCAGTGCCTCATTGAGCAGCAGCAGATTGCCCTCACTGGGCATGGAGAAACACCACAGGAGCCACAGAGCAAAAGCCCAGAGAGAGAGATCAACAAGATTTAAAGTACCACACGTGTGCAGTCTCTGTTAGCCTCCTCCTTAAGAGAGTGCAGAGGATGGACCTACCTGACGGCCTTGGTTACTTCTGAAAACTGCATGAGATGATATTTCCTCAGGAGCTCAATAGTAGGCATATGACCCTAAGACAGAAAGCCAGCATTTCGTAACAGGAACACTTCACTTTGAAGAAATGTGTACAGAGTATGTCTGTAAGCCACACGTGTGCAGGGACCCAGAAGCCAGACCAGGACATGCGGCCCCCAGAGCTGGAGTTACAGGTAGTTATGAGCTACCAGACATAGATGCTGGGAGCCAAACTCAGGTCCTCTGCAAGAGCAGCAGACATTCATAACCACCAAGCAATCTCTCCAGTCCTAACACTTCACTTTAACAGAGCTATGATCAGTAAGATTCTTGTCAAGAAATTAGCTTTAAACAAAAACATAGTAAACCAAACTTAAGCTGAGCAAGGATTTAACACCCTGGCTGGACCAGTTAGATGCTCGACAGGTCAAGGCACTTGCCACCAACCTGATGGCCCAAGTTCAAGCCCCGCACAGTGGAAGGAGAGAATGAATCCCAACAGCCATTCTCCGACCCCCGTGAGTACCGTGGCATGTACACCATACAAATAAACGCTAAAACGTCAAAATATAGCAGTAAACTAGAAAAAGCAAATAAGGAACCCTGGATGCCACAGTCCTGTGACTCGGTGGGTATGACCTTGATCTCCGCCCTGCCGTGAGCCTGTCACTCATGTAAAAAGGGCAGGAGGTAACTGAAGAGATGCCAGGGTGTGCGTAGGGTGCGTCTCTCTGAGGAGTTAGCTCTTCTGTGGGGTCGAGCGTGGGGAGGGGCAGCTGCACTGCGCCCCCTTCATGAGCTGTTCTGAACTGCACGTTCAGCCATATGCAGCACTGCTCTCCCTCTCTTTCTCCCTGCCCCACTATGAACTCGTCTTAGATGTGAAAAAGCAGCACTTGACTTAGACGCTACGCCAGTTGACTATCTGCCTATGTGGCTTTCCCATCCAAGTATCAAAAATGAACTTAGGGTGACGTACACCTTCCTATCAACTGAGAAGTGGAGGCGGAAGGATCAGAGTTCAAGGACAGTCTTGGTTACAGTAAGTTTGAAGACAACCTGAGGTACGTAAGACTGCCTCCAAAAATATTTACTTGTTATGATTAAGAGTCCCATAGGCAGACTGGAATGGCATTCTCCCTTTTTAGTTAATTTACTGAATGAATTTAGTTTTTAAGGAGAAATATAAATAAATGCACTTGTCTCATTTGCTTGAAGAATATTTAAGTTCAGAGCTACTTTCAAGAGAAGCAAACACAGCAGAGTTCCCCTGGAAGGGCTCGTGTAAGCTCTGCCCCGGGGCTGTGCTCCGGTGTAGCCACTGCGGTCAGCCCACCACAGAGACGGCAGCCAGTCACTCACCAGCAGCATCTTCACCGGCAGCAGGTAGATCAGAATCATCCTCTTGTTCTTCTGGCTGGAGCGGTGGCAGTGCTCAAAGGCAAACGACAGGTACTCCTCAGCTGCAGAGAGAGCAGGTCCCCACAGGTCACAGCAGGCACAGCCCGCGCACACCTCGTGCCTGTTCCCTCTCCCGTGGCAGACAGCATTCCAGCCTCATCTCTGGCACCAGCGACTCTCCTCAAGTAAAACCCACAGCCCCAAATTCAACAAGCACTGCTCTGGTATCCTTGGCCTGCCATGATGGACGATGGGTGACCTACTTAACAAAAACTGTGTATTAATTTCCTTTGAGACTCTCACAGTCATCTGCAGGGCGTTGGGATTAGCCTTTACAGCTGGAAAACACAAATGCAACTAACACACTAAACAGGACACAAGTAGAGAAAACACATCACACACAGCACACAAAGCCCCTTCCACCAAATGGCCGTGCGCTTTAATAAGGTCTTCTTCAGCCTTAAGCCTGCCCTGCCCACAGCTTCTAAAGGGGATTCTACTGCATAGAAACAGTCTGAACCTAGGAGGTTTAAGCACACAAGGAGCATTCAGTTTGCCAAGAGACACCCAGCATGGACCTCAGAGGCTTTAACCCACTGAGGAGACCTGCTAAGACAGTGAGCAGGAACAAGCCCGAAGACACAGTGCACAGCAGTGTCGGTAGACAGAGACTTCCCCGAAAGGCGGAGCTCTGCCAAGACAAGCTTGGTTGAGAAGGACGTCAGCTGTTGTGGAAGTCTCTCCTGCACTGTTAGCCCAACTACAAAAGAACAAAGATGCTCACAGCACAGGCTCACCTCACAGACCCATCGTCAGAGGCAGCAGGCCCTGGGAGGAGTCTGGGGCTGAGGAAACCTGCACCGAAGCCACCTCTGCTCCCAAGTAGTGTAGCTATGCCAGAGTAAACCTCCACTCTCATATCTGGAGGTGACTGTCACTGGGGCAGGACTATGTCTTCCACCCCAAGCTGTCTTACCAGGAACCCTGTGGAGGCACAGCCATCAACAAAGACTGAACCCATGGTCTGCACATCACTCCAGCCAGCAAGTATAACTTCTGCAACCTGGCCCTGGAGAAGTGTGGCATTTACTACCTACCATGTGGGGCAACTAAGTCCCAAAGCCCTTGGGCACACAGGAAGCACAACCTGACAGCTACTACATGGGGAGACTTCCTGCTGCTATTAGAGGGAGTCAGTTTGCTCCAGTGTGGGTTGAACTGTAGTGTGAAGCCCATATCCAAGAATACATACATGGGCAGCAAAAAGTGGACTTGTTATGTTTGTGAGTGCTCTGCTTTGTTAAGAGCTCTTGCAGAGGACTTGGGTTTGGTTCTAACACCCACATGAGGGCTCACAACCATTTGTAACTTCTGTTCCAGAGAATCACACGCTCTCTTCTGGCCTTGATGGGTACTGCATGCACAAGGTGCACTTACTTGGTACAAGTAGACAAAACATGCAAACACATAAAATAAAAATCAATCTTAAATAAACATTATTTTAAAAGCAAACAAGGGATTGACGGGAAAGGGGAGTATGCCCCTGGGATACATGAATGTGATCAAAACACACTGTATGAAATTATCAAAGAACTAACTTTTTTAAGAGGAAGGGAGGGAGGGAGGGAGGGAGGGAGGGAGGGAGAGATGGGTGGGAGGACGAATTGATTCCCAGCAGAGTTTAAGACAGAATACTCATGGGCTGGAGAGATGGCTCAGAGGTTCTGAGTTCAATTCCCAGCAACCACATGGTGGCTCACAACCATCCGTAATGAGATCTGGTGCCCTCTTCTGGTGTGCAGACATACATGGAGGCAAGATGTTGTATTCATAATAAATAAATAAATCTTAAAAAAAAATAAAAAAGACAGAAAACTCAGGAACAGAGCTAGTCTTCTTCAGTGCACAGAACAGCTCAGCCATCCCAAAGTCAAGTCTTGACTAAAGTGAAACAGAAGAGCTGGGTAAGAAACTGGGTTGAGAAGCGATGGCTGCTGGGAGACAGTGTTGATGCGTCAACTCTGACTATATTAGGGCTCCCAAAATATCGCTGAGCTCTCCTAGAAACACTACAGCAATGGGATGCCAACTCACTGCTCCTAACTTGCCTGTTTAAAAGGGGAAGAGAAATGGGCAATAACCAAGAAAACCCCTTTTTAAAAAGCTGACATCTGCTAAAAACATAGATGAAAAAAATGGCAAAGACACAATGGAAGCCCAAAGTGAAAACTCAAGCAAAGGCAATCTCCACAGGCAAGCTGCAGGTTTTTGCTGTCACAGAACCCCAGGTCTTACAGCAAAGAAGGAAGCTAACAACCACCTTTAGGCCTAGCCTCCTGCTTTTTCCTGGAGAAGGGAGTTTGTGACCCTCTTAGAAATAGGGCATTTGGCTGGTGCACACCTTTAATCCCAGCACTCAGGAGGCAGAGGCTGGTGGATCTCTGAGTTTGAGGCCAGCCTGGTCTACAGAGCAAGTTCCAGGAGAGTCAGGGCTACAGTGAGAACTGTCTCAAAAAAACAAAGCAAAGAGGGGGACTGGAGAGATGACTCAGTGGTCCAAAGTGCTTCCTGCTTTTCCAGAGGACCCACGTTCAAGGGCAGCTCACGACCACCTTCAACTCCAGCTCCAGGGGCTCCAACACCTTCTTCTGACATCTGTGGGCACCTGCGCGTGTGCACACACACACACACACACACACACACACGCACATCATACATTCACATGCATGTACATGAGCACACATACATACACACTCATTTTGGACTTGGTTTACACACACATTCCATCTTAATAAAATAGAGTCCTTATATTCTCTGACACTATCAATGTCATACAAATTGGGTAGAATGCATGCGTTATCTAAACACTGGAATAGAATTATCAACATACCATCCGGGCGTTTGGTGGTTTTAATCCCAGCACTTGGGAGGCAGAGGCAAGAGGATCTCAGTGAATTCAAGGCCAGCCTGATTGATGATCAGAGCAAGTTCCAGGAGAGTTCCCAAAGCTACACAGAGAAACTGTCTCAAAAAACAAAACAAAAAACCCAAAACAACGAAAACTAGATATCAACATACCTTGCTTGAAGTCACTGTCAAACATGGCCTTACGCCCAACATAGTATTTGTACGTGACCCTCTGGGCAGTGCTGTAGTCATCTTTCAAATTTGAGCTGTCAATCGCTCTGATGAGAGGCTTACACAGATGGAGTTTGTTGATCTATAATAAAGAAGAAACCACTTACGATAGTCACAAACAGTATCAACAGAACACGCAGAAGAACAGACATGAACTTCTGCTTTACTTTCTTAACATAAATTTCAAAATATCTGTAAAAAAACAAGGAACTACTTGGTACAGACAACACACACTCTAGAAGCTGGAGCTCGGAGAGGGGTGTAGCTCTGCAGGGGAGTCAAAGCCAAGGCCCAAGAAAAAGCCTGCACTTAGGCCACACTGTCAAGGACAAACTAAATGTCCCATGAAGTAAAAGACAGATTCTCAGACAATCAAGTATGACAGGCTGTCCTCTGTCTATTTGATTTTATGAAGCAAAGTCTGATTCTTTTGTCCACCCATAAGTCTACATATCCCTCTAGTTCCATAAAGCTGACATTATAACACAAGGCAAAAGGCCCCAGAGAGGGGACACCTATAACCAGAGTCAGTTACATCACAAGGACTGGTCACTCAGTGTTCAGGGCCTCAGTCCTCACAGGGCTGGTCACTCAGTGTTCAGGGCCTCAGTACCCACAGGGCTGGTCACTCAGTGCTTAGGGCCTTGTGTCTGGGGAAGCTGCGTTTCCGAGCGCTATCTATCCTGAGTCAGATCTTCAGCTCTGATTTGCTTTTGTGGCACAGGGGCCCTGGTCAGGCAGGAGAAAACCTGCCCAGAATGCATTCTCCATTGAGCTCTAGTCCTTTCTCTTGGGAGACCCTGAATGACTGCCAGCTTAGGATCATTAACGTGGCTGTGGTTAGGATAATTCCCTAAGACGTGACAGAAGGCAAACTAAACCAGTAACTTATCTGGGCAGATAGGGAATAAAGCTACAAAAATCATGCAAAAGCAAACCTTAAAGTAGATTTTAAATAGCTGGTTCACCAGGAACAGCATCCCCCACTTCTTAGAGTCCTCTATGCCAGCACGACTACAGGAAGAGCAAACAAACATGATCAATTACAAAACAAACTGCCAGGACAATGACATAGCCACCAAATAAAAGGGCACTTACGTGTCACTGGCACAGACTCGGAAGCAGCTCATCAGGAGCTCGGCGGCTTTTTCCAGCATGTCTCCTACTTTACTCTTCCCCTTCTTTACCAACTGCTGATCTGCCTAACAATACAAACGCGATTATCTTCTTAAAGCAAACAGAGGCAAAATTAAGAGTCCAAGTCCAGTTTGAGGTCAGCCTGGTCTTCAAAGAGAGTTCCAGAACAGTCTTCAAAAACTATGGAGAAACCCTGTCTCAAAAAACCAGAGAGAGAGACAGAGAGAGAGGAAGAAAAGAGTCCAAGTCCCCCGTAGTGTCCACATCATCTGGAAGAGTGGCCGGTGCTCCTAGCCATTGAGTATTTACACAGCCCCTCTCATACTGTATTTTAAAAATCGAGACATGTATATATATTGCCCGTATCTGTCCTTAAGTCCAGCTGACAGCAGCCCATTTGGCTGGATGGTCTTTGTCAATCTGACACAAACCTAAACATAGCTGGAAGAGGGACTCATAATTGAGGAAATGCCTCCTAAGGTTTGCCTGTAGGCTAGTCTGTGAGGTATTTTCTTAATGAGTGATGGGGGAGGGCCCAGGCCATTGTAGGCAGTACACCTGGGCTGGTGGTCATGGATGCTGTAAGAAAGCAGGCTGAACAAGACACAGGGAGCAAGCAGGTAAGCATCACTCCTCTGTGGCCTCTCCTCGTCACAGAGCCATGTGAACTCTAACATCTCCTGGCCCGCAACTGCCTTTGTGACAAGAAAAACAAGCAGCTGGTCTGGAACCAGAAATCAGCGACAGTTTTTAAAGCTGTAACAAGGGTGTAAGCCCCGAAAGATGCTTCTGTGTCTCCAGAGCTGACGTGCACTGTTCCCCCGTCAAGCCCAGCATCTGAACCCCCCGCCACCACCCGGACCTACATCAAAGTACCAGTCTTCAGCACGGGCTGCATCTTAGAGCGGAGGATACCAGCATCATTCCACTCGGCACCATAGCAGCTTGCCATGTCCCTCTACACAGAGAGGGTCTGTCTGAATGGACCCGAGGATGACCAGCAAGCTGCCTCCTGTCTTTCCCTCCCTGCACCAGATACACCCCAATTCCTATCCATCCCTCAAAACTTCTAGGAAGCAAGACATGGATATTAGGTAGTAGTCACCCAACAGATTTAAATTTAAAATAACGGCGAGTGGAAACGGAACTTACATTGTTGGCAAATATCCGGAGGTCAAGTGCTACTGCATACATGACAGGCAGAGCCCTAAGGGCAAAAGGCAAATATGTTGAAGAGCTAAAAGGTCCAACATCCTACCACTGACATCAAGGCTACTACCCAGAACCAGGTCCACGCCCTCCACTCAGATGGGTGGCATTTTGTTCTGCATCCAGCACACTGCAACCTTAGACATCCTGGCCAAATACTCACTACTTACTCCATACTGTCCCAACTCTGCTCAGGAAACTGGACTCAGATCTAGCGGGGAGCTCCCAGAACTTTGTCCTTCCCAAACTCCTCACCACTAGCAAACTGTTCCATCTAAAAACACTGAGGATGCAAGCAAGAACCAGAACGTATAATTCACAGTCATCAAACAGCTCTGTGTCTATCTCGCTGCCAACACTAGGCTCTCATTCATGTGTAAGCTAAGTCTTCACTTGGAAAAGAAAAAGTACACCTGGTTGATGGTGGTATATGTCTGAGATCCCAGCACTCAGAAAGCAGGGGAGGTGGACCCTGAGCCTACAGAGCAAGTCCCAAGACAGCCAGGGCTACCAGGGAAACCCCGTCTCAGAAAAGTACATTACATACAAAGACACATTTGTAATCTTAACGTGGGAGGTTGAGGCAGCAGAGTGGAAACTGCCAGGCCAGCCTCAACTACAAACAACAATCCTGCCTAAACTTCTCCCACAACTGTCCTTCAAAAATTGGAGCTAAGGATGTAGCTCAGTTAGTAGAGCGCTTACCTAGCATGCACAAGGCCCTGGGTTTGATCCCCAGCACTGTATTAACTGGGTGCAGCGGCACATTTCAGCATTAAAGCCATGGAGTTAAGGTCAAAGTCATTTTCTGCTATAATGAGTCTGAGGCTAACCTAAGGCAGTGGCTTAAAAAGGTATAGTAATATAACTTAATGGCAGAATGCTTGCCTAGCATACCCAAGGACCTGGGTTTGAGACACAGTACTAAAGAAAACATTTGCTTAAGGAACATTTGCTTAAGGAAAGGACTGGGTTGGTTGTCTATAAAAGGCCTCTGGCTACTCTAGTGTAAACAAATTTAAATATTTTCCTAGTTTGCTAATAAATCATAAATCTGAAGGTTAGTTTTCAAGAAATTTTAAATAATCCAAAGGAACTATAGTGTGCCTTAAGCCAGCATTTTAATCCCAGCACTCAGAAGGCAGAGGCAGAGGCAGAGGCAGAGGCAGAGGCAGAGGCAGAGGCAGAGGCAGAGGCAGAGGCAGAGGCAGAGGCAGAGGCAGAGGCAGAGGCAGAGGCAGAGACAGAGACAGGCGGATCTCTGTGAGTTCGAGGCCAGCCTGGTCTACAAGAGCTAGTTCCAGGACAGCCTCCAAAGCCACAGAAAAACCCTGTCTCAAAAAGAAAAAAAAATTGGTAAACGGAGGAGGAAACATGTACTTAGTAAATATTTCTGTAGTAGGAATACTGAAGTAGCACTTACTACAGAAGTATCGTACATAACCTGTTTGGTTGGCCATTCCAGTCTAGTCCAAGCCCACACCGACATCATTTACTAATCTCTAGCTATTTCTGTTCATGCTTACCAGTTTTCTTCTTTATGAGCCTGGAACGCCCGCAGGAATGATGTGCTGTGTTAAGGAAGGTATGACAAATCTGAAGTAACGCTACACTTTGTAAAAGCAGACTAAGAGGCAAAGTCTGTGTCTGGATGACTATGTCATAACAGTAGGAAAACCTTGAAGGAAGAAAACACATTACAACATCCTTGTGTATCAGAGGCTAAGTAGATTCAATGCAGTCACTTCATAAAGACCTTCTCCAAAACAAGCCTTTTTATAAGATTGTTCATGCAAACCAGGCATTGTGGCACTCCTTCAATGCTAGCACTTGGGAGAGGAAAATTCCAGGCCAGCTTACATAGTAAAACCCCGCAAACCCCTCCCCCCAGTTAAAAAAATGTGTGTATATGTGTGTGCATGGGTGTGTGTGTGTGTGTGTGTGTGTGTATGTGTGTGTGTGTATGTGGTGGCTAGATGTCAACTTTGGGTGTCATTCCTCAGGCTGGTCACCTTCTTCCTATCATTTAGATGAGCCAGTGAGCCCCCAGGGATGAGATTACAAGCACACACCACCACTCCTGCCTTTTCTTGTGGGTCCTAGGGATCCAATTCAAGTCCCCATACCCACAGGGCAAGCTCATTACCAACCGAGCCATCTCCCCAACTGGTTAGAAGATTTTTCTTTTCTACATTTGTACTTGGTTTCTCTGAGTCTACTGATCATGAACTCAGTAGATTAAGTGCTCAAGAATCTGTAGCATAAGGTTTATTTTACTAACACTAGAAGTCTTAAATTCTAGGGAGACCTGGCTAGTAGCATTCTCTTCTGAGTGTACTTAAACACAGTAGTTCTCAAGAACAAACCAAAATCTAGAGATCCATAAATACTCAGCAAGCTCACTAGTAAGGATTATCACAGAAGTTGATGCTTACATGAGCACATGGAATAAAGTTAATGTATGTAAGTTTCCGAGTCCACGCCCCTCCATCTAGGCTGAATTATGGGCCTCTAAGACTTTGCAGTTCCTGTAAGCACACTTACAAAACATTACGTTCTTAATGAAGTCTTCAGATTGGTATGCATAATAATGGGTCTCACCATGGCATCTTCATACACATATGCTATTGTCAAACATTAGTCTTGGCTGGGCATGGTAATGCATGCTTTAATCTCAACACTTGGGAGGCAGAGGCAGGTGGATCTCTGTGAGTTCAAAGGCCAGCCTGATCTACACAGTGAGTTTCCAGGTCAACCAGGGCTACAGTCTCAAAACAAAATGCTATTCTTGGAGCTAGGGGTGACTTTGTGGTAAGAGTGCTCCTGGCGCAAGCATGAGGGACAGAGTCAGCATCTCAAGTGTCCACATCAGGGGATGGCTGTGTGTGCCCAGAATCCCCGAACTGGGAGACTGAGACAAGGAGACTCTAAAAGTTTGCTGGCCAGCCTGCTGCGTCAACAGCAAGCTTCCAGTTCAGGGAGAGACCCTGTCTCAAGACAATGAGGCAGACTGAGAGTAAGACACTTGACATCTTCCTTTGCCTTCTGACCTCTGCATGTGCACACACAGGCACCAAGTTCTTCTCAACCAAATTAAACAAGACCCACCCTTCATGTATATACCGATGACATTAATGTAGAAGGAAACGGTCTGTGGGATTAAGGAGCCTAATGGGAGGGGAAAGGAAAGAAAGGATGGGTGTGGTACTTTGAATGTGATTGGCTGCCATAACCTCATAGGAAATGGCACTATTAGGAGGTGTGGCTTTGTTGGATGGGTGTGGTCTTGGAGGAAGTGTGTTACTGTGGGGACGTGCTTTAAGGTTTCCTCTGCTCAGGATACTGCCCAGTGTCGGAGGCTACTTCCTGTTGCTTTCTGATCAAGATAGCAGCACCGTATCTGCCTACACACCACCATGATGATAATGAACTAAATCTCTGAAACTGTGAGCCATCATCTCAATTAAATGTTTTCCTTTATAAGAGCTGCCATGGTCAGGGTGCCTCTTCACAGCAATAGAAACAATGGAGTGGTGGGGTATGGGAGGGGATGTCCTCAAAGTAAATACATTTGCATAAAAATGACCTCATATAACCCTGTATAACATAAATAGACAGATTAAACTTAGGAATCCAAACTGTTAAAATGAGTTTCTCTTCTAAGATATTGTAGTTCCTTTTTAGTTGAAGGTTTGAACTGCTCCAATGTTTGAAGACTGTGAGCCTCAGGAACCCATGGTCATTAACACAGGGTAAAGGATATTGGACTATCACCGTCTGGCACTTGTATGCCTCTATGAAGTCATGATTCCCCACGGCATAGGTACATCTGGAAAAGATATCAGAGGCTGAAGGACATCTACACATGGCACCCAGATGCACATCAGCCCAGAGTGTATTCTATCAAACACACCACCCAGTCTCTACTGTTCCCGGAAGATAGTTCCTGCTTGGCAGGAAACCACAGACAGAGGAAACACCACCATTTGAGTGACAGCAGCCAGTGTAAGGGGAAATCCCACACAAAGTTCTGACACCACCCTGCTGAATCCCAGAATGGGAAATAGTTTAGCTGTTCTGAGTAAGAGGACTAGCCACAAGCATGGCTGGTGCTCCATGCCATCAGTGGGCCTCCAAAGACTGCTGGCAGCTGAGTCAGCTCATCACCAAACCTGGAACCACACTTCAGGAGCACACAGCTAGGAAAGTATGGGAGCGCCTCTTGTTGAAGGAACATAGTGACACCCCCAAATCTTCCAAAGGCCTGGCCCAGCTTGCTCGAAAATACAACAGGCATGCGGGCAGAGGACAATCATGCACACAAGGCTTTAGGATAAAAAGTTCTGCCTGAACTGCCTGACCAGCTGCAGCGAAAGCAGCAGACAACTCAAGGAAATAAAGAGAAGTTTCTGTTTGTTTTTGCTCAACTCAGATTCCTTTCCTGCAGGGCTAAGATATTAAAAACCACATTATTTCCATGAGAAAAGCAAGACCTCAGCTAGTTAGGCACTATAGCTGACGAATAAGAGACAGTCTAGCCAGTAGAAATACCAAGTGCGTCACAAGAGGCACATGACACGTTTGTCCACTTTTCCCAGTTAATTATTCACTGCTCCAAGCAAACAATGATGCATGGTAAAATCTGAGTGATCTAGCAATGTGTTACATGCAGGCAGCGTGTGCATTTGTTTTTCCTGCTGCCCAAGGATTACCTTAAATGAGCTGCAAACATTTCATCATAGGGGGGCTCCAGAACTTGCTGGCATTTCTCTTCTGGAGAGGCCATCTAGTCCACAAGGAGAAAGGGGAGGGGTAAAGTTAGTGGTCATGAAAGAGCAGTGTACACAAAGAGCTTTAGATGAACACTTTCAGAACTTCACAGCCCAAGAAACACTTCAGTCTGGCACTTCTGAGGGAAGGGCTCCTTGCTCCACCAGTATCTATATTTCAAGAAAACAAAAAGCCCAAGAATACAATTCTGTTGTCTGCTGCAGTTTATAAAACACTTTCAGACATATTTATTTGTATTGTATTTGGCATGTGTGTAGGTGAGTGATGTGTGCCTGAGTAGACCCACACACACCATGGCACACGCACACAGGTCACAGGAATACTTTCCACCACTGGGCTCTGGGGAGTAAACTCAGGTCACCAGGCTCGCTCAGCAGGGACTTCTACCCTATCAAGCAACTCATGGGCTCTCACACATTTTAGTACTTAACAACTATCAGTGACTCCTATGACCTTAATGAGCAAGATGTACAGTTCCTTCCACAGAAAAGGTCAACAAGTTAGTGACCGTGATATGCGAAGAGTCACTTCAAGTGTTCTGGGCTAGGGGCTGACAGTAATTCCCAATCTTAACTTCCCTCCAGTGGTAAAGTCTAGATGATTTGAGAACACCTATGAGAATTAATTTTACATGTCACCTGGACTGGCTTAGAGTACCCATAAGGAATATGACTTCTGGGTGTCTAGAGGGTATTTCTAGAAGAAACAGGCCTGGAACTGGGGACTCTGTAAAAGAAATATCCCTGTCCAGCAGGATGGATACACACGAAAATGCTGAGGGGCTGAACAGGACAAAACTAGGGAAGAAAAAAAGAAACACACCTTTCTGGCTCCTGACTGCCACTTGAGCTGAGACACCATCACATCTCAGGCAGACCTCGGGTCTACCCACGGGCTCAGGACTCAAACTCAGTGGCAGCACTGGCTTCTGCAGGCCTCTAGCTGAAGATGGCAGGTCATGCAAGGACTCTCTCTCTCTCTCTCTCTCTCTCTCTCTCTCTCTCTCTCTCTCTCTCTCTCTGTGTGTGTGTGTGTGTGTACATGTATTACATATGTATAGATACATTTCTATCAGTTGTTTTTCTGACTAATAGTAAACTAGAGCAGAATGAATGAACAGGAGTCCTCACAAATGTAATAAACATGCATAACTTACACATAAAGATGGAAAGGAAGAATACTGACACCAGAAAAATCATCACTCTGAGACAGGGAGACAGCTCAGCAGGTGAAGGTACTGGCTGCCAACTATATAAAATTTCAACTTGGTCTACAGGAAATACCATCTATACCATATTTAAATTCAAATGGAAAATGCTCCTATTCTCAAAGGTGGCAAATGCCGCATGAAAGGCTTTGCAACCCTCTGCAGGCTCATTCACCTGTGCCACTGTGGCAGGGAGGCCACTAAAAAACCCCTGAAACCAGCACACAGCTCTATTCTCCAGGAGGGGTCTGGGTTTCCAGTGGGAACTTGGTGGGATTCACCTGTAGTGTATAATGGCTTCTCATCTTTGGGGCAGTTGAATACGGACAAGGTCTAAGTTCCATGGCATCTCCCCTAGTGACACTGATAGGTCACTGACTTTAACCCTAAGTTACACAGGGATCAAAAATAGGAATATCAGGCACAGCACTCAGTTAAGTAAAATGGGATTCCATTAATCATAAAGAAATTTTGAAAGGTTTCAAACGAGAGTGGCAATATTAGTTTCCTTTCATTCAAACTTTAAAGTTCCATGGAAAACTGACTGCCCCACAGTTCTCTCTGGATGCGTGTGCAGCCCTTCCTGACTGAGGGTCAGCTCTCCCTCACCTCTCTCCATTCTCTCTAGACACCATGGGCACATCTGTTACCTACCTGGAGCCGTGGGTTCGCAACATGAGGGTGCTTGAAAGACACCAGCTCTGCACAGGACGCACCGTCTCTGGTGTCAATGGCTTCATATACCTGAAACAGGTGGAGGGGAAACTTGAGCAGGTAGGCAAGCATCCGCTCTCACAGGACCTGAGCGATGCATTGCATACCACATGTGCAGTTCCTTCCTTCTGTGAAAGAGGCCAGAACAACTGAAATGTAAAGTCACACAGGAAACAACTGCATTTCAAAATGGGATCTTCCTAGGACAAGAAAACAGGAAAGCCAGAGTCCCGGAAAGGCCCTTCTAAAGGTCTCAGGGACAGTGGCCTTATACGCGGCACTAAGATTACGAATGCATCACTCTTCCCACTCGAACCCTGGCACAGCCTTGTAAGGAGAAGCCTTGTCCTAGTTGGTATCAAGGATTCTGGCCACTTGTCACACTTGACTCTGAAGGTCTCCAGGCCTCCAGAGCTCTCCTCACAGGAAACCTATGGCTTGTACACATCATGAAACAGAAGCACACTTCTGAAGGCTGTAGGTGCTAGCAGCACAGTGGACACTGAGGCCCACGCACCAGGTCTATGTGATGTGCGGTGTAGCTGTCCGGCAGGGAGCAGCCCTCCAGGACTGGTCACTTCAGTGACCTCCTTTGCAGTGACCTTGGCTATGGCAGGATGAAACAACCCTAACACCGGTGGCTCTGCATGTCCACAATCACCTAAGCTGTGTCTAAAGGCTCAAGTACAACTTAACTAGCAACTGGCTCAACTCCACAGGACATTGCACTTGGGTCCGGACTCAATTTAAGAGTGTCCTATAGGAGTCCTGCCTCAGTAACAACATAAGGGAGTTAGGGGTGAGGAAGAAAATAAGGACTGTGACAGGCCTGAAAGAGCAAATCTTGAAACAGTAGCTGAGGGCTGGGGTAGAGAGCGTTTGCTAGCATGTGTAAGTTCCTGGGGTTAGTCCCCAGTATTACTATTTTTTTAAAGTGCCAGGCCACTCCATGGATATCTCATCCCTGGTACCCAGCCACCTGCCATAGGTGCTTCCCCAAATGCTAACATAAAAACTGCATCCTTTTAGGTTAGACACCATATGGCTCATGAACTTATACCCCAAGCAAGCACCTGTGCACAGTACCCTGGGCTGGCACATCGAGGAATTTGCTTCAGGCATCCCAGGAGACATCTCTCCCAGATAACTGGCCTTCTCAGGTCCTCCACGCCATACCACAGAGGTACCAACTGCTCTTAAAACTCACAATTCCTTAAAAGTGTACACACTAAACAAACAAACTGTACCCACAAGGAGGGTGAAATCTAATCAGCTCTACTTCAACAGCTTCTGGGAATTTAACACAGGAAACAGCGGGAAAAGGGATACAAACCATTTGTCAAGATGTAGCTGATGGCCAAGGCTGTCCTCAAGGTGTTGAAATAGTGGCTGGTCACTTGACCAACAATAAGGTCACTGAGGTTCAAGCATGGCTCTCCAGAAATAGAGACTGCTGAAACTGCTAAGTACTAAATATGTGCACTCTAGAGGAAGAGTATGAGAGTCAGCTGTGCTGCCTCTGTGAAGACTTGGATCAGCCACCTACCGAGCTCTTCAAGGGGGCCTGGTGACGGGATCAAACTGAACACATTACCACGCAGCATTGACAACAGCGCTGCTGCTTAAGAGGCACAAAAAGAACCAACAGTTGATCAACCCAATCTGTGTTCGATGCCTGAATCAGATAAGCATAGGGACTCTCAGAGCTCTGCTGAAAACACACAGCCAGGACAAGAGGTGTGTTGATGTAGGAAATGCAGCTTACTAAGAGAGCAAACACAATCGCTGCTCACTAGCACAAGGCTTGAAGACTGGCAAAGTGCTCAGCTTTCCGGTTTAGCCCTCTGGCTTTACTCTCCTGTCAGCAACCCTTCCTGACCCAGAATAGGGAAGTACAAAACTATTAGCCACAGCCGGGCATTGGTAGCGCATGCCTTTAATCCCAGCACTAGGGAGGCAGAGGCAGACGGATCTCTGTGAGTTCGAGGCCAGCCTGGTCTACAAAGCTAGTTCCAGGACAGCCTCCAAAACAATACAGAGAAACCCTGTCTCGAAAAACAAAAACAAAAACAAACAAACAAACAAAAAACCATTAGCCACACAGCTCAAGTGTTACAGAGTAAAATCACAACCACTGGAATAAACAAACAAATGAAAACAAAGTAGCCCAGGAAAGTGGCACACCTTTAATCCCAGTCCTCAGGAGGCAAAACCAGGCAGATTTCTGAGGCCAGCCTGGTTTACACAAGTTGCAGGACAGACGGGAGTGGGGGACAGTGAGACTCTATCAAAAGCAAAACAAAATAGTGTCTGCAACTGCTATGAAAAACAACAAAATATGACAGCACAAGAGACAGGCCATTAGAAAGGCATAGCATGCTGTGACTTAACCGACAGTCAGGAGACAGCTATAGCTGACACCACCAACTTCCCCAACTAATCAGGCCTCTTCCCTTCTAAGCATATAGGCTAAATTGCAATGTTCGTTCCCAAGCTTCCCTAGGGGCTCTAGCTAATGAGATGTTTGAGACAGCTAAGTGCAAAACCAAGATTCATAAACATCCATGGGCAACAACCTCATCGGTTAAAACGTCCATCAGACTTTCCCATCTGGCTGTCCCTTGCACCAGGTGTGCTAACTAGTGGGATTCATACCCCTCTTGTCCTAGGTTAGCGGAGAAAACGCACTCAACCCTCAACCCAGATGCAACGCTGCTTGCCTGTGCCATTCACAGCCCTTGAGCAGAGGGACACCTCTCTTAAGACCTAGTGTGCTCCCGTGCAGACAGTGCTACACGGACAGCCGCTTTTACAAGCGGCCCCGATTCTGCTCCCTCCACCTCGAATTCTCCCCCGTCCCCGATCCGGCGGGAAGCACTTGCAACTTTTGAGCAAAGCTGCTTCCCGCCCCATGCAGCAAACGTTCTTCACCCCCAAAGGCAGCCGCAGAAACCCCCGACCCCAGGACCTATCCGACCCAGCCCCAGAACCCACCCTCATGGCCAATAAGCCAAGATACCGGGCGAAACCCACCTGCTGTAGGTACTGGTTAATGGTGATGTGCGCCATAGCAGCGGCTGCGGGCGTTAAGCACCTCACTTCCGGCGCAGGTCCGTCTCCGCTCCTCGTCCCTATACTGTGTTTCCCGCACGTTTTTTGGTTCCGGAGCCGGTGGCGCAAGCCGAGCGAAGGCGGCGCGAGCACTCCCCTCCCAGAGCTGTCAGCGCTCGGGGTGCGGTCACTGGGGTGCCTCAGCCCCGGCGGGGGCGTGAGCCAAGGACTGGGGAACTGACGTGGAGGAGTTCCAACCGACTTAGGAACGTGTCCCCGCGCCCCGATCACGTCCCGTGTCCTAGGACTCCCCGTGTCCCTCGCCCCTTGGATCCTCACTTTGCAGAGACGCTCCTGGCTCGCACACCCTCGAGCGCACACAACACAAGTCAGCCCCACTAGGGAACGCGTCCCCCTGCTCTCCTGGCCCTCGCTGGAGATGTCTCCGAGTCCTCCCACCCCCCTCACTGGGGCACCCCAGAGTAACGGGTGTGGAGTCTCCCGCTGCCCGACCCTCGGCCCGCGGTGTCACGGAGCATTCCTGAGCCCTAGGTGTGGGGCTGGCCCCGGTTCGCCCACGTCTCCAAGGCGTCCCCAGCCCTCGACGTGACGTCGAGCACCAAGCCCCCGGAACCCTCGGGGCGGGGTGCCACGGCGCCCTCTCGCGAGCATTCGTCGTAGAACGTCCGCGGGTGCCGAAGCCTCCAGGCGCGGCCGCGGCCGCCCGAGCCCTCACTGGGCGGAGTCCGCGCGCCCGAGCCGGATCATTCCGGTGCGCGCCGCGGCGGTTGGGCCTCGGGCGCGCGGACCGGGCCGCGAGCAGCGGGAGGAGGAGCCGGGCGCTCACGGGCGGAGCCCGACAGCGGGAGGAGGAGGAGCCGGGCGCGCACGGACGGGGCGCAGGGCAGGAGGAGGAGCCGGGCGGCGCGGGGCGGGGCGGCGTCCGGCCCAGCCATGGCGGACGAGGGCCCGCGGAAGGGCAGCGTCTCGGCTCTCATGGGCCGCACCAACGGCCTCACCAAGCCCGCGGCGTTGGCCGGTGGCCCTGCCAAGCCGGGGGGCGCGGGCGGCTCCAGGAAGCTGGTCATCAAGAACTTCCGAGGTGGGTGCGCTCCGGTGAGGAGCGAACGGGGCGGCCGGCCGGTCGCGCGCTCGGACAGGGCCTCCTGGGGCTGCCCAGCCGGCCCTGTCCCCGCGCCCCAGCCCGCCTTGTTCCCGCACTGCCCTGTTCCGGCGCTCCAGCCTGACTTGTCCCCCCCGCACCTCCTGCTCCGCCACGTCCCCGCGCCCAGGCTGGCCCTGACCCCGCACCTCCTGGGCTGGCCCTACCGGGCCCTGCGTCGGTGCCCCGGCCTGTCCTGTCCCCGCGCGGCCGTTGACCCTCTCTCCCCACAGACAGGCCGCGGCTGCCTGACAACTACACTCAGGACACGTGGCGGAAGCTTCACGAAGCGGTCAAGGCCATCCAGAGCAGCACATCCATCAGGTACAACCTGGAGGAGCTGTACCAGGTGAGCGGCGGCGAAGGGCCTGCGAGCACCTGGCTGTTTTCCTCCTCCCGCAGCCACGGTCGCCGACGCTAGGGAGGCCCGCCTGCCGGGGGGGAAAAGCTGCGGCCCGAGCCTTCCCTAGAGGAAGCCGCGAAGCCCTCGGTCAGCAGGTGTTCCAGCGTACCGCCGCCCTGGATTAGCGCTGGGTGTTGAGGCTTACATCAGGCTGCTTAGGAGGTGTAAGTTTTCCCATCGCCAGGAGAAAGGAGGTGTGGGGGCCGAGAGCCACAGGGCTCCAGCGATCTTCAGTGTTATCAGAACGCCAGATTGTTACACATAAAACTCAGTATGCTAGGAGGATCCCAGTGTCGTCCCGTCCCCCCCCCCCACACACACACACTGTGGTTTAATTGAGGATCCCAGTGTCGTCCCGTCTCCCCACACACACACACACTGTGGTTTAATTGAGGATCCCAGTGTCGTCGTCCCCCCACACACACACTGTGGTTTAATTGAGGATCCCAGTGTCGTCCCCCCCACACACACTGTGGTTTAATTGAGGATCCCAGTGTCGTCCCCCCCCACACACACACACTGTGGTTTAATTGAGGATCCCAGTGTCGTCCCCCCCACACACACTGTGGTTTAATTGAGGATCCCAGTGTCGGCCCCCCCCACACACACTGTGGTTTAATTGTTGCAAATAAGGTTTGCAAACAGATTCTGGTAGTTTTAATTTAAAGATGGTCAGTGTCTACAGCAGGGAAAAAAATGGTCAAAAGTACATGTTGTTTCAGGCTGACTGTTTCTGTCGTGGTTTTATACAATAATGTTCACTAAATAGTTTATTTTAGGTCATGATAAAGTATATATATAATTAGTTACGCTAAAGTCATGAACTTAGCGGTTTGTTTTATCCTGGTTGCAAAGTGAACTTACCCAAGTTACAGAAAGTACAAAAAGAAGAGTGGGCAGTGGTACCCAAGGGAAATGGTTACAGGTTGAGCAGTCGGGATCCAAAACTTCCCCAACCCAAAACTTTTAGCGTGCACATGAAAAAAGATCCACGGCTGACCTCATCTGACTGGCCTCAGACAGAACACAATGTATGCTAAAACTGTTGTATAAAGTTACTTCAAGCTAGGGCCAGTGGGATGACTCAGTGGGTAAAGCTCTTGCCGAACAAGCTTGGCAACCAGTGTTCGAACCTCAGAGCCCTCCGAGAGGTGGGAGAAGACTGCGGAGAGGAAGTCCTTTGGCCTCCGGTCCCCCATCGTGCACACACTGTGGTGAAAAACTTAGAAACAGACCTTCAGATTGTGTTCAGGGTGTATGAGATATGAATTAATTTTGTGTCTAGACCTTATTCCCCCCAATAAATCATTATGCATATTCAAGTATCAAATTCAGGAGAAAAAAATCTGTAATCCGAAACACTGCTGGTCCCAAGCATTTTGGGTAAGGGGCGACCAACCTATAGTGATAGGTTGGGGTACATGTGTCTGTTCTTTGTCTTAAGTTTGTGAGCTGATTGTGTATTGAGGGTGAGGGTTTCTTAAGGTTTTATTTTGTTTAGACAGGATCTCACTGTATAGCCCCGACTGGTCTGAAATTCACTATGTAGATCAGGTGGCCTCAAACTCTCAGAGATCCACCTGCCTTTGCTCCTGAGTCCTGGGATTAAAGGTGTGCACCACTTCACCTGCCTGAAATTTTACTTTTATTATTTTATGTGTGTGGGCGTGAAGGCCGGGGCAGGCCTGGAGGCGGAAGTATTGGATACCTCTGGAGCCTGAGCATAAGTGGTTGTGAGCCTCTTGACATAGGTACTGGGAACCAATCCCAGGTCCTCATGTCCTCCAAACCACTGAGCCATGTCTCCAGACCTCTACCCACCCCCTTTGTCTTTGAGTGAGAGTCTTGTTACACGTGCTGGCTGACTTAGTTGCTTGCTATGTATTCCAGCCTGGCCTGTAACTTGCAGCAATCCTCCGGCCTCAGCTTTCCACATGGTTGAATGCACCACCATGCCCCGATATTTTTTAATCAGCTTTTTAAATTGTAATTTACATATAACTTGTGTTCCAGTAGGTTCCCCCCCCCCTGGGGAGGGAGTGTGGAGTTGGCTGGTTTTATTTTTTAGAGTTTCACTGTGTAGCCCAGGCTGCCCTAAGTCGAGGTGATCTTCCTGTGGGTGACAGGTTTACACTGATATACTGGCTGTTCCAGTAAGTGTTAGTGGCCTAATACGCAGTTGTTTGCCCCCCCCCCCGCCCCGCACCCCATGAAAATATAGACTGTTTCCATCCCCACGAAGAACCGTAGCCCCTTGCAGCCATCCCTTCCCATCTCCTGCCTTGGGCAGCCCTTGCTCTGCTCTGGATTACTCTGCCATCTCTAAAAGGAATCTTGCATTTGTCATCTCGTGTTATCTGACTTTTATTTGGAATAGTGCTTTGCAGTTCACATGTGGTGCTAACAGTTTAGTGTTTTGTTGGTTTTGCTTGTTTGTTTTGTTTTGTTGGTTTTTAAACTTTTTGAAATATGTTTTTACTTGAAGTAGAATTACATCACATCACTTTTCCTCCTCCCTTCACCACCCCCAGCTACCCTCTCTCAAGCCGTTCTTATGTGCCCCCAAGTGCATATTATTTTTATTAATGAGGAGTGTGGACATGGTACAATTGGCGGTTTCATCAGGTAAAGGACATTCGGGTGTCCAGTGGGAAGCATTGCCAACAAAGCTGCTATGAGCGCTGGCTACAGCTTGTGTGGGCATGTGTTCTCCTTCCTCTCAGGCAACCGTCTCCGAGGTCTTACAGAAACTGCCTGCCTTTCAAAGTGACTGTACCATTTTGCATTCTGCCAGTGGTATAGGGTCCTGTTTGCTCCACATTCTCACCAGCATTTGGTGCTGTCACTTTTACCTGTGGTTTAATTTACAGTCCCCACTAATATTAAGCATCTTCTTATACATTTATTGCTATTCTGTACCCTTTCTGATGAAGTTAACTATTCAAACCTTTTGTCTACTTCCCTGCCTCCTCCCCTCCCCTTCCTTCCCCTCCCTCTCCTCCCCTCTTTTCCTCCCCCTTTTTATCTCACAATGTAGCCCACTCTGGCTGCAAACTTAGAACCCTTCTGCTTCAACCTCCCAAGTTCTGGCATTACAGACATAAGCCAATATGCCCAGCTTCATTTTCTTAGATTATTTTCCTATTAATTGAATATGTGGGTTTAGTCTGTATTCTTCCAGAGCTGCAAATATTTTCTTGTAGTCTGTAACTTACCCCTTAACTGATCTATGTCTTTTGAAGTACAGTGATTTAAAATTTGAAATCCAGTGTATCAGCTGTTCTTTTAGGTTGTGCTTTTAGTATCTGCCTAAAAAATAAGAAAATAAACTTTATCATAGCTGGGAAAAATAGCATACTCCTGTAGTTACAGCACTCAGCAAGCAGAGGAGGTCCAGGGATTCACGGCCAGCCTCTTCTAGCCAGCTACGTCTCACACACACACACACACACACACACACACACACACACACACACACACACACACACACACAGTGCTGGGCACTTTGTTACCCAACTGCCTTTCTCAAAGACAAGACCAGCTGTCCGTCTAGGAGTGGGTGTAACGAGGTATTAAATCAGGAAGGGTTGGCCTCCAGCTTTGTGTTTTTCCACAGTTGTTTTAGCTATTCTTGGTCCTTTGTATTTCTTTAGGAATCTTAGAATCTGTTTTCTGGCTTCTTCCAAGAAGCCAGCTATGGTTTTGATTGGAATTATGGTGACTCAATTAGACCGTTTAGAGACAACTGACTCAGCCTTAAAGACAGATAGATGACACTCTGTGGGGTCTTTTTAAATACTTCTCAGCAGTGTTTCTCGTTTCTTTTGTACAGATGTTACAAACCTTTTGTGGAATTTTTGCCTTAACTTAAGTTCTGATTTGTCATTCTTACTGTTATATAGAAATATGTTGATTTTATAGATTGAACTTTTCCTTCTAACTTGGCAGCCTTGTCTGTTTGTAGATTCCCTGTAGATCCTATTGGGCCTTCTACCCAGATGATCATGTGTAACTAGAAAGCTTTTTCCTTTCTAAATTTTGTACCTGTTATTTCTTTGCCTTGTCTTGTTGTACTGGCAAGAGTCTTTGGGAAAAAGCAGAAAGCAGGCCACTTGTCTTGCTCTGGGTCT